TTAATTAGACTGTCCCGAAGTGATGACTGGGTCAAAAAACATAATCTGAATCATCCGGGCCAGAAAGGACTTGTCTCTTATATAATCAAATCATACTTTCAGAGGAGAACTGGCCTAGTTCGAATGCATCCACTGGCAGACCAAAATTTACAATTTAGTCTCTGGGTTTATTTATTAATCCAAGTCATTAGGACCGACTGACACGGGTTGTGTGGGCCCTTATGCAAATACTGGCCTAATACAGAGGAGCTCTCTAAGCCAAAGTAATTGGAAATTAAATTGGGGGATTTCCCTTAGTAGCTGTGACAGCCACGTGACAATCAAAGGAACTGCCTCCTCGAACTCGGCGCCCAGGACGCACGTACTCGAGTGGATGTTTCGGCTTGTTGGGGGACTTCCCCGTTGATGGCCAATAATTGCTTTATCATGGCAGACTCGCTGCGAAGAATATCATTTCGCCATTAATAGAGGGACTCGGGGGAATACAATTTCATGCTGAAATGGAAAACTAGCCTACAAAGCCGTTGTGGGCGTAGGAAACGATTGTTCGCCAGCCCCAGTTCCGTTATGGCAAATAGTAATTTTAATAGGTCATCGTATTAAGGGATTCCCGGGCCATTCACTCGCGTTCTGGTTATGGTTATATGGTTATGGGCCAGGCCGTGGCCCTAGTTGTTATTGTTTGGCGAGTATCGATTGTGTGGCAAGCGATGCTGCGTGCTACGAGTGTGTTCTCCCCCACTTTCAGCGCTGACATGTGCGTTTAATTGCGTTTTACTTATTTGACACAAATTAATATTGGTCCTCCTGCGCCCGCATAAGTGTGCTATAGTTTTCAGCTGTGCCCGGGAGGGGGAGCTGCTCCCAGCCTCGCAGGTAATTAAATATTTCTGTAACATTTGCGGCAGCCTGGCCTAGGTGGAGAAGGGCTTAGTGCCACAAACTTGATTGGGAAATGCTGGGAAAGGCTCTCAAGGGTGGAACCGCACTATAAATCAAGCTGGGATGACCTACGAGGAGTGACCACTTGCAACTCGAATTTCGAGTGTTTTACGTTATTAATATTAATATTATTACAAGGGACACACACTGTGTGTACACATAATTACGCAATTTAATGAGTTTTCACTTTGCCAGAGCCGCCCCGGGCTATCCTGATACACTGCCAGTCCTTGGACTACCCTGGGCCGTAATTTGTGCAAAATGGAAACTAAAAGCCCTGTTCCCGGTTCCAACTCTACCTTTTTCCCTGTGCAGCCCGCCTGCACACGTGCATAATTAATTTTAAAAATTAATTCTACATCGAGGAGCGGCCTGAAAGGCTTGAAGCACTCTCCGGTGAGCATGGTTACCGTGCCCTGCCCCGGCAAGTAGCAAGGTGAACAGTGTAACAAAAATGTTGTTGAAGGCAGATGACGGCCAAGACGACGTCGACGATGAAAATGACGATGATGATGCGGTTGACTTTGCCACAACAACGACAACGACGATGACAACTTGACATGGGAGCTGGGAGTTGGGAGTTGGGAGCCGAGGCAGCCAGCTAGTGACTAGAAATGGCAGAAACGGCAGGGTGAAATGGCAGCCAGCCTCCTTTGTCTGTCGTTGATGTTTGTTTTGAGCCCCAGCCGCAGACCTTCCTTCTCCCTGGTCCCTCCCTCCGACCTCCCTGGGCTGCCATAAACGGAACGAAAACTCCCCACGACAGCGATGAAATTGACGTATAAAGTCAACGGCGTCAACAAAGTCGCTTTCCTGCATCTCATCGCCCCACACATGACAACACTTTTGAGGCATGTGAGGCACGTTTGGCGTTTAGCTTTTATTGTTGTGCCTGTATTTGTGTTTCTCTCATATTATCTGCCACTCCCTCCTGGCCGCCTTCTCGACTCGGTGAGGAGAAAGCTAAAAATTGAATTGAAAAACTTGGCAGAGTGTGTGTCTCAGAGAGATATCCTGCCCATTTTGGGCAGCCTCCGAGTAGACTACATATTTTTTTCATTAAACCATAACTGGCATGGAGCACATCCTGGAAAAATTGTTGATGAAGCTCGGAATGGAAATGAGTTCGGAAAGGAAGTCTGTGTCAGGGTTACTCCCATTGGGGAGCTCTGATGAAGTTTTCTCCGCAGGGGCAGCAGGGCGAGAATTCTTAAGGATTTGTGGCTTTGTTTTCGTCTTGCAGGAAATTAGAAATCTTTCCCGCACACTCTCCTCCAGCTGGATAGCTGGATGAGAAGGAAAATTAGAAAGCAAACTGGTTTCCCAGCCATTACAGACACTGGCATTTATATGTCGAGTTAATTAAAAGAAAACTAGTTATGCCGCCCTCCTCCTGCCCCATCTCCCCAAGAAAAGTCATTAAAAACTACGAAAGGAGTCGCAATCGAAGGCAGACTCGTCTCTCGCACAGTGCGTATGATTGATAATGAGTGAGGAGCTGGGCCAGTGCCGGGAGGAAGATAAAGGGCCGGTCTGGAGACGTCTTCATCCTGTCGCGGCAAGGCAAAGAATGCACATTCCTGGCTGCAGAACTTACTATTTCATTCCACTTGGCTCGGATAGCTCCTCTTGCTCCTCCTGCCTGCATGAGGCCGCAGATGCCAGAGCTGTCATTGCGCTCCTGGTTAGTCCCCTTTCCGTCCCATAACCTTCAACTGCCGGGAAGTACCCTGGCGGGCCACCGTAGGACTTCCCAGCGGGTGGGTTTTCACTGCCAAGCCGTGGCATTGTCGTGGCTGGGGGAGCAACTCAGACTTTGGGTGCGACTGGCTTCCGATGGAGCTCGGCTGCCACACCTGTGGGTGCCATTTGCATATTAACATGTGGGTAGCACCACCCTGGCGCGCAGATAGCATTGTGTTGCTATTGACTCTGAGGCGGGCAATTGCGTAGCTGTTCCAGCCTTTTAATGGCCACGAGGATTATGCTTGATAGTCGGGGCTTAGTAATTATGGAAAATGGGTCTAAAGGACGAGTTGGAATGTTTTTTTTTGGGCTTTAAACGGAAATGGATGGACAAAACAAGTCTAAACTTCCTAAGGGTTCATTGTATCATCCTTACATTCTATACTCATTCAAAACAATCAAAAATTTTACTCTTTTCAAATACGAGATATAATCAAAATCCAACATCCAATCATAATTTTAATTTGGGTGCCTGGGCACTGCTATCTTCGGGGCAGTGTTACTTCAGACTCCGCTGGTACAGACTCCAATAACACCCCAAATTTATGTGAAATTACCAAGAAGACTATCCCGAAGACTATTCTAAATTATATTACATGAAAATATGGATTTAGTCTTCAGAACACCACAAGAGTATCAATCAAAATAAGACCTCGCTTTAAATATTATACTTCTATTATCATTTCAAGAGTACAATAGATTAAAATAAATCCGACAAGACTATTTCAAAAACTAAAAGAAAAGATTTCAAAGAAAGAACCTCCTCTATATGGTAGACGATGCAATAAGGATAATATCTATTGCCAAAACTTAAAGGAATGTCCACTCTATTTGACACAGAGGGAGCAAAATGATTATAGCTCTCGACTCAACATCAACATTAATTCCACTTTGAAATCTGTTTTTGAAAGTAACTTAATGATACTTAATTTTAAACTATTTATGTCAAGATAGGATCTAGTTAAACCTCCAAATAATAAGCAGTTTAAGGCATATGTCTCTATGTCTAGATTCTCTCCTTTTAGAGATGGCTGCTGGTACATATCTTTTCAAAATCAGAATAACCATAAACTAAATAAATAAAGTTGCCAATGCATAGGAAATAAATTAAGGAGAGGCTTTATTATTATTATTTACGTAAGCAGTTGCACACAATTAATTTGTAAATAATTATTAGAAAGAAAGCCAAGTAATTGAAACAAAACTATTTAGGTTTTAGACAAGAAGAACACGAAGTTACTAGCTCCAGACTTCTAGTTCCAAGTTTTAATATTTAAAGTAGAATACAGAGTTTATCTTTATTGCAAAGAACTTTCTTCCAAGTTCTAAGAAAGAAAATCTAATGGAAGTCCCTTATTTAAACCTCAGTGTAGAGTCTACACTGTAGACTGTATTCCCAACCAATATACTCTTTCTTCTGTCCTTGTTGGAGGAGACTTCCCATTACCCAATGTCCATTTTATCCGGGCATTCAAATTAGGCGTGGCCCAGCCATGTTTTTGTTGCGGTTAGAATGTCAAACGCTAAGTGCACCGGTCTCTGGAAAATTATGCGCATTTTTCCGGAGGTTCTAAGCTCCGCAGCTCCAGCCGCGGCTCGGGCTGTCCAGGTGAGCCCCGCTGCACGGGGAATTAGTGCGCATAATTTCATAGCCGACTGGGGAGGGGAAACTTTTGGGAGTCGCCGCGCTGGGAGTTGGGAGTTGGTGGCTGCGCAAATATTTTGTGGCCCCCCGCGGGAATGATTTTTGTCCGATGCTGGGCTGTTGTTGGCAACATTGTTACGTTTTGCATATGTACATGAGAACATCGGGGTATGCTGGGAATTCGCAGTGCACACAGAGCCAGGAGGAGGGGAAAAAAATATGTGCTGTATCTGTACTAAATTGCACATGAAGTGATTTGAAGCGTAAGAAATGCCCGGGACGAGCGTCGAGCGGGGGACGTCAATATTATACTCACATATAGATGTACATGTGCGACGCAGAGTTTGGAAAAAAACTTGGCGCAGATTCAAGAAAAAAGAATAAGAATTTCATATCAAAATTACAAACAGGCCCAGGACGGGACAGGGGCAACTCTGCGCCGCCTGCCAGAAAATATGGATGATGAACGAGGCCGGCTGGGGGCCTTCCTCGGGGGCTGCTCGCCCGAAAGTGCCGGAAGTCGTGAACTCTGCCTGGGAATGTGATTAAATGCATTGCCGGCTTGGGTATTTGGCTAATTTCATGATTTATTGGCGGGAATAGAGAATTAAGCATTTTGATGGGCAATTACACACTTTTCACGACTTTCTCCTCTTGTCTCTTGCAGCCCGAGCACCGGAACGCGGAACGCAGTATATTCAATCATCTGTAAATGCATCAGCTAAGCAACAGTATTCTTGCTCAACAATAAGACACCACAAGCCGTGATTATTTGTTGCATTTCAAGGCAAACCCAACACAGCGATCTTAAGCCAACAACGTAGTGCGAACAGCAAAGAAAACCACCTAATTTTGACCTAGAGAACTGTATCACCACAAGCAGAGCAGCCAAACCCCACATATGTAGTGCAAGCCCGATCATCTATGATTGGTATATAGAGAGAGAGTTATATTTACAAAAGGCACCTCACCCACACGACAGGTGAACCCCCAAAAGACAAACAACAGAAACAGACACTGCTGAGATAGAGACCGCGGAACACGGTCGCATCCAGATACACTTTCATCTACACGGAGCCACAGAAGCCAGCAAAATAGATACCATGGAGGACAATAACACGAGCAGCAGTGCGGGCGGTGCGTCCATTAAACAGGAGGATCCATCTGTGACACTCACAATAAGGCTGATTATGCAAGGGAAGGTAAGTCGAGGGTTTTTTTTTATTCTTAGATGTATTTTAACTCAGAATTGGTAGTTTTGGATTCGAAAACACATAACAACTTTATTAGAAGTCCAACATTTTGAACAAATTTAAGAAAAACATGTATTAATGTAGTTCTTTTAGATATTTAAATAATAATGATTATTGAATGTTATGGGGGTCATCTCTCTCCACGAAATGGGCCTAAATCAACCAAATGAGGGTTCCAGATCATCACAGGGACATCTCAGGCAACTGCTTAGCAGACGAATGGAGGGTTCTGGTCATCGTTATCCTACTCCTACTTATAGAACACCTCTAAGTGAACTATCTTAGCTGGAACACCGTCCCAACTCTGGTCTTATACCTCAAAGAAAAGAACATCCTAGTTGTTAAGGATGGATAGGACCCACATCAGCACGGCCATCAAAATCAACACAGGGCACTGGCTAGTGGGACTGACATGCTAGGCGAATGAACTCCTCTGGAGGAAGGACGAAGATGACTGTCCACTACTTGGGTCTACATTATCTCAGACTTTCATAACTAGGAGATAGATTGTTACTCGACCTCTTGAAGGTGTCAGTCTTAGATCCAAACAGGATACAGAAAACCAAGCTAAAGTGTGAGTAGTCCCCTCGAATCTCCCACGGGAAGGGAGGTCCACACCACAATAGACCTCACAAGGTGTAAGTGCGTCCGGTTTTCCATTTAAACCCGACCGCCGACCTAACCTACTGCTACAAAGAAGAAAACTTTGTTTTATAAATAATCTATTTCATAATTATAAACATCACAACAATGTTCCTAACCTTATCAAAAAAAAGGGCATAAAACATAATTACCCACCAAAGGTTGAGGCCTGAAAGGTATCCTTGCGCTCCCCCAGGACTCCTATGATTCCAGGCTTCAAAGTCTATTAAAATGTGAACGCTTTAGTGCACACCATTGGGTTCTGTCATCTTAAATATTCATAGAGCTCTGGTACGCCCCCGAAAATCAATAAAGAGGCGGGGCAGGCCGATAGAGTGAAAGCCGAGAGGCGAGCTGGAACGAGGGAGAAACAATTACAAATTAACGCGTGCATTTTGTATGCAAATTAAAATTAAATACGCGCCACGTCACGCATTACGACATTGCAGGTGAGGTAAATTAAAGAGCAGCGAGGGGGCAGTGTGATTGCGAATATGAATATGAATATGAATCTGTGGCGATAAAATGTAGGGCCGTAAAAAAGAGGCGAAGGAAGGCGGCGGGCGGCTATTAAACAATCATTACGGCTGCCAGATACGAGCCATAAAAAAAGAGGCTGACAAATAAAACACATCAAGTTGTGAATTGTTTTCATTGCTTACAAAAACAGAGTTCGCGGGCCATATTATCCGAATATTGGCAGCAAATATTTCGCAAACAGCCAGCGGCGCGACGGGTTAAACCAGTCGGAATAATATTTAAATGAAAAAAGTGCAGTGATCAAATATTTGCCAGAAACAAAGCAAGTCCGGGGAGGTGTTTTGGTAGAGGCTGCCCCACATAAATATCCAGAGGCAGGTCAACATGGTAATTAGTATTTTCCATGAATCATGCACCATAAGGTATAATATTCTTGCAGCTAATAGAGCCATTACCATAAACAGGCGAGTTGCAGCCTCTCGAGAGTGACTCACGGCTGACAAAGTAGGGCTGAGAGCGGCATCAAACAACAGCCACCAGAAACCGACACTAAATAGCCGCTTATTTATTTAATAACAGTCAACAGCCATTAAAACTATTATTCAACAGCTTTGGCTCAACCACTTTAGAGATGTTGGCCAAGTCGGAGATGAGCTGCTTAGCACGTGCTTAGCTGGCCAAGTTGGCGTTCAGCCCCGTCGAGAGTAGGTACTTAGCTTCGGATTTGCCCAGGCATCGACTTAATTATAAATTTGGCCGATGTTGGATCTTATTTTTATACCGAAAGCAATTGAAAGGCAGCGGCAGGTGCACTCTGTACTAGCCCGGCTGGTGTGGCTGGTCTGGTGGGGACTGGGGCAGGGACTGCATACATGCAGCATGATGTGTAGCCGAAAATTGGCAAAAAGGCCACAAATATGTTAGAGACGCGACAATTTATGGCAGAAATAGCCGCCACCAGACAAAGAAAGCTGAATTGGGCAGGCCGAGGTCCTCCCGAGAGGGGCGGGGGCTAGAAGGTACCTGGTAGATCGCAGATCTCATGAATAATTGCGCACTTCTTGACTTTTACGCAATCAGCCAGCGAGTGCGATGTATGTGCATGCATAAAAATTGTGTAAATGTAAATTCTGCACATTTTTAGAGATTTTCATTTTCCTACAAATACAAGGATTCGGGCAATAAATTCCCAAGACACTTTTCAGCGGCGCCGACAGAGGAAGGCGGCTGTATGTGGCTCTTGATCGATAGTTATAGATTAGCATGATTTATGCGATTCTGCCCGCAGATGTGAATAAATTTGAGGCGTAATGCAAATCGAGTGGAACACGGCGCTGGCGAGAGATCCAATAGCGCAAATAGACGGCAAACTTGTCAGCTGAGTTGGCATTAAATGGAATCAAGCGCAAGACATCGAATCCGTGTTTATTTCAATTCATGCTTTTGGTGTCGGGGGGCGTCATTCTATAAGCCATTACTCTCCCATTACTTTGGGAAGTGCTTTCAATATTTTTATACCCGGCACTTGTTAAGTAAAATTGATTTGTGTGACTATAAGTCTCTTGCGGAACTCACGCAGTTCAAGAATATTTTAAACTTAAAAATTTAAAGTTTTGAAACTCTTCCGATAATTACTTTTTATAGCGCCAAAGGAAATAAAATACATATCTTGTCATTACTTTGGAAAGCGACTTACTCTTGGGTCACATCGCAAGTCCATGTCTAATAAAGTGTAATATAAGAATATATAAGCTGCGCTGCCTTGTAAACAGAAGTAAGATATGAAGTCCAAAAGAGGACTATATGCGCATTGCATCCACCCAATCTGGCTTTATGGAATACAAATTTGGAGGTTCGCAGGCAAATCAAATTTTAAACTCATCCAGTTACTGCAGAATCTCATACTCAGAGAGATTTAAAGGTGCATATTGTGAAAGCATAGATTGGTAGGCACACAAGCCGATATAACTTCTGAGACATCGCAGCCTAGTTGTTTAAAATTACTTCCAGCTAGATCTTTGAGGCTTCTTAAACGACTAGGTTTTGCCAAAACTATTCTAAACCATTAAATAGACTATAGGTTTATATATTATTAACACGTAATCCTCATAATTGAATTATGGTTCAAACTTAAAATTCCCATTTTTACATTTTTCCTTCCATGTGATGTTAAGGTACTTATTTTATGTACAGATTCTCCTTTTAATAGCTTATTTTTAAAAGTTTTTTGATGAAGTTTTTATGCCGTAGTATTCTTAAGACTAATATCATATGTCTAATATAAAATCAAGTGAAGAGAGTGTATATTGCGAGAGTGCAAGTGCAACTCACTCTTCCTGATTTTCAAAAATCTCAAAGGGCTTACTCATAATTAATAAGTCATTATACCAAGTACAGATTTACAAACCTTACGTATCTCATTTCCTGCTTTAAAAAGGCCGTATATACTAATAATATTTTTAATTCTTTGCATCGCAACCTAGGCTTTTAGAATTTCAATCACAATTTAAAGCAAAGATCAAGCATGAGGTTGTAGGCATTCCGGCACAAATAGAAGAATGGAAGTATAAGGCCACTGCCATTGTTATTGGCGTATTTCTGATATTCTCCGCTGGCTCTAATTAACTTGGCTTATTAGCTGCGCTGTGCAGTTGTGGCGGTTCTCGGCGGAAACTCACAGCCGCCCGCCAGGGAGCCGCAGTCTGGCTCGAAACCAGTGTCGCAGACGCGACCAAAGTCGTGATGCAGCTAATTAATTTATGGAAAAAATGGAAACGCAACGAAAAACTGAACAGTTTGCCAGGCAATAGGGCGAGCTATTGTGAAAAAGAAACACCTTTTCTTTTCTGTTTCGCCGTGACGGTGTGTTGGCTCCTCGGCTCTTTATTTATTTTTTTTTTTCTTGGCAACCATCCGCCAATTGCATTGAAAGAAACCCAAATGTGGGTTGCTCTCCCACCGCCCGCTGCCCGCTGCTCGGCCAGAACTGCCACTAGACATGAATGTTTTTCTGCAGTTGTTCTTATTTTTGAATCATGCATTTTTAATTAGTGAAATTGCACGATGTCGGACCTCTGTGCGAGTTTTCATCGCAGTCTGCCACATTTCCCAGGCACTCGTCCAATAATTAACTATTTTTCCAACTGCAGGCAGGCTTGCAACTCTGTTATGCAATTGATTAGAGGGCCTGCCACAGATTCTGTTTGCAATCACTCAGCAAATGGTAATTCCCCACAAACATGCCGCGAAACCCGAGAGATCTCTAGAGTTCCGCTCCGAGGGCTTGCAGGAGACATTCCTCATTCGGGCTAACAAAGGCCAGTGTGCGTGCGATGTTTTCGTTATTTAATCAAATTAAAAATTGCCACTTGCTGCGTGGCATGGTCTGTCCTGCATCTGGCCCTGGCAATTGTAAATAATTTAATTGTACATTTTTTTTGCGACTCGCCTGCCGGCGACAGGAGCAGCGACAACCGAGTGCCACAAAAAACAAAGCCAAAAACATCGCAGGGCGACAAATGCGCTGTATGATTTATTGGATCAGGCCAGGGGGGGCACAGCACAACACAACATGTGTGCCCCAGCGCACACCATATGTGTGTGCATTTTCCAGCGTTTGTTGCAAGTTTTTCTTGCATTTTTCCGTTGCAACTCCAGCAGCTCCCATAAACGGTTCTCACGGTTTCGCAATGCCTGTCAGAGATTGTTTGCCGCCGATGGTTGTTCCACCGCTGCTGCTGCCGCTGCTGCTGATGGTGCAAAGTGTACATTATTTATTTTTGTACAATTTTCAACGCCGCCACACATTAAAAACAAAGTCAACAAAAAAGAGAAAAACACGAAACGAGTAATGGCAGGCGGTCTTTTTTGGGTTGTTGTCTGAGCTAAAGCCAAATGCCGAAATGGTCGAAATGGCCAAAAGCCGATGGCTGATTGTTGTTTTCGAGCCAGTCTTTTCTCTTTTCTCCGGCTTTCTGCTGTGTCTGCTCCACTAACATCAAAAACTCTTTTGCCCCAGCCGGCTGGCACTATTATGGGCCACAATTAGCGTTGTCCACTCCACGGACCCCGGGCTTAATGCGTCTTCTGTTATTGTTTGCGTGTGCTTTTTTTTCTGAAGGCCATTGTTATGGCCATAATCTACCGCCCAGTCTACGATGAATGGACCCGAAATTCTGCGCATGGCTTCGAATTATTAGACGAGAGTGTGGGAAATGAGACAAGTGCACGGAGGCTGGTCTATATTTTCAAATTATGCAACCGGATTGTAGTTCTGCTCCGTTGGTGTTTAATGATTCATAGCCTTCCGGTTGCTGGTCCTGCTTTCCATGACATTTCGTCCGTCCATCCATGAAACCCAAATTCAATAAAAACAAGCAATCAAAACTTATTCCCAAACCGCAGAATGCTTGCATCCGAAGCGCCCTGGCTTCCAGGGCAGCATTTTTGCTGCCAAAGCCGCTGGAGCTCAATAAGCTCAGAGCTAGAGCGTTCAACAAAAGGCAAGCTGGACCGCAAAGTGATTGTTGCATACGAGAATCGCACGCATTTGAAAATAGGAAAATAGGAAAATGCGAAAATGCCAAATGCCGAATGCCGATTGTCGAATGCGTTTGTTCATTGTTACAGGATTTGGACCGGAGGAATTCCGGGAATTTAATTGGTGGCTGGGCAAATGGTAATCTAAAAGGGCAGGCCAAATCAATGCAATCAAGTAAATGCCCCAAAAACTGGTCTATTCATAGGTAGGTCGATAGCGGCACTCGCAGGGGCAGGGGCGGGGGCAGGGGCAGAGCTAGATCCGATTTATGCAAATTGCGTAAACTTCTGAACGGAACTGGCTCGCAATCACAACGAGATAATTGAATGGAAAGAGGGTGGTGCAGGGCGGTCTGTGGCAAGTAGCAAGTGGCCAGTGGCCAGTGGGGTGGTCGCTCCTGGCCACATTATTAATGATGATGAGGCCGAGGCGCTGATGAGCAGCCATCAACCTGAATGGTTATGAGCGGCCCCCAAAGTGCGTATTCGTACTCCACGCTCTCAGCCACAGATACAGATGCAGACTCAGATACGCAGATACAATTTATATCTCAAATGTCTTGAGGGGCCATCCAACTTGTCCTATAAATTACACAGGCCATCGGGAAATTTGTCTGTGAGTGCAGACAGGCGTAAAAAGGCACCCGAGATCGGCGGCGGCGTCCAACGATAATTGCGCCAATAATTATGCCAATTCGCTCGGACATTTAGCTACACAACTATATATGTATTGTAGATATAGACGAATAATTGGGCAAGCGGACTGCATCTTTTTCGCTCTCGTGGGCATAAATATTCCGCCAAAGAGCGGCCAAAATGCAAGCGGCGCATAAAAATTCAGATAATGTCGGAGGGGCGATGGGAGGACAGATTCCGATTCCGATTCGCTCGCACATTGTTTTGCCCAGTTTGCATTTTGTCTGGCAGGCTGCCCGGGCCAAGATATATTATTTGGGCTTGGGATTGGATTTGGCCGGGTGTGCTCTCCCAGCCCGTCACAATGGATTGCTGCACTTAGGGGCTTGTGAAGGTTGTTCCATGGTTTATGGCTAACAAATTGAATGGCTGCAAGTTCCACTAAGGCCGGCATTACTTCAATATTGCATTGCGAAAGTCTAGCAAATAGAAGCTCTTAGCTGGTATTTATAAACCTAATCAGTGTTATGTCTCGGTCTAGCCATCAAGCAGTCTAGATCAGGTGGATTATCTAGATCTCGGGGACAGATGCTAGGTGCTAAGGCCTCCCAGGCAATGCACATACAATAGAGGCCCCTTAAGTAGTTCAGAATTCTTATTAAATGCGAGTGGTAATTGAAAAACGAGCTTGAAGAGCCAAAGGAAAAACAATCTCCCGGCACTTCCCTTTGTCCGGTCTCCTCCACCGTCAGGCTGTACTTTTTGTGACGAAGCTCACTCAGTGGCTGTGGCAGTGCTGATATTTACAATCAATTAAAACGCGTAAAACGCGCTGGCCGCAAATTTCATTACGTGCGACAGTTCTGGGCGGCGACAGACACCGTCTGGCTGGGGCTGGGGCGGGGAAATGGGTTTTGGTTTTTCTGGCTACCACGGTGGCAGCCAGGATGCGATGCGGGGCGTGGAGTGGGGTGTGAAGTGCTTGCCGAGCCAATTAAAAATGCAAAAGTAGTTACACCCACATGTCTCCCCGAACGCATCCTCGGGTATCACATCACTTAATATTTAATCAAATTTGAACATCCCCGTTGCCCAGGGCAAGCGGACGACTGTGTTGTATAAATGCTCTTAATAGCCCCGAGCTCACATCCTGTATTAAAGCACTTCCTTTCTCGTTGTCTCTTTGCAGGAAGTTGGTAGTATTATTGGTAAAAAGGGTGAAATTGTCAACAGATTTCGCGAAGAGGTAAGTACCCACGCATGCCCTCTGGAGGAACTCCATCTAACCGTTCTCTCCTCCTCAGTCTGGTGCCAAAATCAACATTTCGGATGGATCGTGCCCGGAACGTATTGTGACTGTGTCTGGTACAACCAATGCAATCTTTTCGGCATTTACGCTCATTACAAAGAAGTTCGAAGAGGTATGTGTGCCGTTCAACTGGCAGGGCTCCCACCGTCCCATCTCCCTGAAGTCCTGTCCACATTACTAACTTCTGACCCGTTTCAGTGGTGCTCGCAGTTCAATGATGTAGGCAAAGTTGGCAAAACTCAAATTCCCATTCGATTGATCGTGCCCGCCAGTCAATGTGGATCGTTAATTGGTAGGTGGACCCAACCCTCAAATGTTACTTCGAACTAATCAATATTTACTTTCTGCCGTGACCGGACGACAGGCAAGAGTGGCTCTAAAATCAAGGAAATTCGCCAGACCACCGGCTGCTCCATCCAGGTGGCCAGTGAAATGCTGCCAAACTCGACGGAGCGCGCGGTCACCTTGAGCGGCAGTGCTGAGCAGATCACCCAGTGCATCTATCAGATATGCCTCGTCATGTTGGAGGTAGGTCCAGTCCGAGAGAGAAAACTTTAAATACTACATCTGCAATCTTTCAATACAGTCTCCGCCGCGCGGTGCTACCATCCCATACCGGCCAAAACCACAGGTGACTGGTCCCGTCATCCTGGCCAACGGACAGGCCTTCACCATCCAAGGAAACTACGCAGTGCCCACACAAGAGGTAGGTGGTCCGCCTTGGCGCATCCGCACGCCGAGAAGCAGGCTAAACGTGTCGTTAAGATCAGTGAACAGTGTTGTGTACTCTATTGCCAGTCACTGCAGCTATCTTTTTCGCTCTCTGTCTCTATCTTAACTGATCCCACATTAGTCCAGCTAAACCATATTGTATCTATTTCTGCCCCGACTAGTCCACTCTATCTTTTTGGTTATTGCGCGTCTCTACAACCTTCTGTTCTGCCTCTTAATATCTTCAGTTCATGTCACTCTACTTCTCTGTTTATATCTCTCTATCCACCGATACTCCAGTCCTCATTGCTCGTTTCTATTACACCCAATTATTATTTGCGACTCTGTCCGAGAGCCCCACCCTTGTCTCTTTCCTCAAAAACCGTTTCTTGGTGACCCCGATGCTGTCTTGCGAGACGACCTGTACTACCCCCTACGATTTGTGACCCGTTTTTTGACCCTTAATCCAACCTCTGAATCTGTTGAACCGATTACCGATACCGATTACCGTTACCCATCGTCGTTTCCATGAGATTCATCTACTTTCAAGTCTAATTGGTGACCCCGATCAATGAACTAATGTGTTAACAAACTTTACAGCCGCCGAGTCGTCGACGACACTTTAACGAATCACAAACTTTTAAAAAATAACTTTAAATATGTATTTTTGTTTTGTTTTTAGTTTCTTTTGAACTCTCTTCTCTCAGGTTAGGAGCGGTGGCGAGAGTCTCTCTGGCCGCTCCAGAGAATCAGGAATCGGGATCGACTCAGCACCCCGAGGGTGTTGTGTTCCCCAGGCAGGTGTCTGGGCAATGTGTTCAAGGCGTGGCAAGGCGAGGCGAGTGAGTTCGCGAGGACAGAATGAATGCCTCGCGGGGTCTCGAACTCTTCTCTCTCTTCACTCTTTGCTCAATCTGTGTGTCTCTAAGTTCTGTTCTGAAGAGGGCTCGCTGGCAGCGTGTGTGGAGAAGTATGTTCAAACTACACTAGTCCACTAGTCCTCCAATCCATCTCCATCTACAAACATTAATCTATCTACCACAACTATCCACCCCCTGACACACATCATCCGAAGACCCGAAGACCCCGAGTGCCAGCAAACTAATTGTACTGTAGAGAATATTAAACAAGCCACACCGATCAGTTCTAATATTATACTTATTTGCCAAACCCCGCAATCGTCTCTATCTCTCTCATCCCCAACAAAGTATATATCTCCTGCGATCGCTCTGTCTCTCTATTGATTTGTGTCAAGCTCACAGACTGTCGACAACTACAACAGAAACAGCGCACCTATTAACTCGAGTCTCCACAACAGGTCCCCAACAGGTCCTGCCCGAGCCCTCACATCTCACACACCGTTCTGTCTGTCAACTCGCTCTCTCTCCGTATCAATATACATATATTGTTTATAGTCCCCGAACAAAATTCAATTTGCGTCCCCAATATGGAAAAAAAGGAAACACCAAACAGCAGCCAAGCAACAACCTGCTAACAAGAGTCTATTCAATTACATTCTGCCCTCCAGTCCGGTCCAGTACAGCACAGTATGTCCACAGAAAGTATATTCTGCCCTCAGAGCCCCTCGCCAGCCATCGCCCCTCGCCCAGTTCGAAAATAAAAGTTTCTCAAAACTAAAACAAAGTTTTTGTCGCATCAAATTCAATTAATGTCCAGCAAAATGTAATAAATCAAAAACTAGTTGTACTCTATCTCTTACCCCGACTAGCTCCCTGGTCCCTGGTCCTGGTCCTTGGTCCTTGGTCCCTGGCCCCGGTTATTGTCGGTGTTGGTTCACATTTTGTTTAGCCAAATGCGGCGTGTAGTGTTACGGAAGTCCCCATCACAGTTGCAGAGTATTTCGGCCTCTCCACCTGCCTCCTGAACCCACATGCTTCGAATCCTCCACGATGGTGTCTGACAATACCCGAAAACCCACTGGATTACCGGAAGAGCCGAGCCGGTCGAGTAGCTAGCGAAGTCCAACGTCCTCTGTCCATCCACTTAGATGTTGTACCATCTCATTTCTGCGTTACACCGCGTCCATCCCCTGGAAACCAGCACACACATCTCGAAAGCTTTCTCCAAGAGTGTCTCTAGCGTTATGTCTCTATCTGAACATGTATCTGATAAGCCTCCATCTCTCCATAGCAACTACAAAGTTAAGAACTTAATCAACTTGCTCCGAAACATTATTCTCGTGGTATACAACTTTCGTTTTTCTACTTTTCTCTCTTCTCTGTCAACCAACACACAAATTTTGAAACAAAAACCACCTACATCGACACCACACCACTCCACACCACACCACACCACACACTATCGCAATTATTCGGTAACGATCAATCACTCAATCGAACGTAGACCTGTCCAGTATTTCCATTGGCCCTGGCTACCGGCGGGCTGCATGCTGGTATCTCAGGTTTGACGGATCCTTTGTTAAAGGGGGCACACTTACCAGGAGCGGTACCAGCACACCACCATCACCTACAGCAAATGCCCGATGTGAGTTTTTAGCCATCGATGCGATTCGGTTCTTGAAACTATCTCTCCACCTTGCCCCTTGTTACCCAGCCTGCACGCCCCCCAACCCCCTATCTACCAGAAAACTCAGAAAAAGGAGGGAAAGAATCTGTAAATTGTTATCCTTTGAAAGGACTATCTATACCCAGTACCATGCTGTACCTCTTACAATTCTCAACCCCTTTTTCTGAGTCCGTGTTCGTTTGTTGCTGTTGTACTTCTACGCCCCCAGTAGCATCTCCCCAGTAGTGGTCCCCTGTGTTACCTGTTTACTACCTCTGGTATTTCTTTTACGATCCACTGGCCGCATTCCAATGACATTAGCACCGGGCCAAGCGCAGCTCCTGGTCCCGGTCCGGGTCCCCGAAGTAGTTGCGGCCACAAAATAGTTGGCCAAAACACTAAAAATCAGGCAACCAGGGGGACGAAAGTGGGGACCTGGTCCGTCCTGGTCTTGGAAGGCGAGCCCCCAACCCCAGCCAAAAGTCATCCACAAATGCATTTTTATTGTTCTGTACCCCGTACCCCTCTCTACCCCCCCACTCTTACTCTTACTCGCAAGTTAAAGTTTGTAGTTTTGAAAATCGTTTCAACTTTCAACCTGTTCCCCTACCAGTACCAGTACCAGTACCAGTACCCCTGTATGTATTCCCTGTATTTGTGTTCTGTACTAGTCTAGTGTGTCTGTGATGCGGCAAGATGTGGCCTGTTAATCGCCGACATGTACAAGTTTTTACGACAGTTGTGTTGCAAGATAATCCATAGCTACCCCAGTCCAAGCCCCAGCCCCATCGCCCCGCCACGCCCCGGTTTCTTCATCCTTTTTGAAACTGTCTCTCAACTTTTTATTGAGTTGCAATTCATTTTTGGGTCATAAAATATTTCCACGCGCATGTTTTATTTCTTCATTTAGAATTCGTATTGCATTTTGATGAATATTTCAGTTCTTGTTGCCTAAAGCTCTCACACACACACACCCACACACACACATGCAATGCACTTCGTCCTGGCACGCAGACACACACACACCACACTCCCACGACAGCGACAAAGCACAAACAAAGCATTTCAATATTGTATGATTTATTTGAATTTTTGTACTCATTTTTTGTGAGCGCTGCGCTCTAGTTTGCCAACCAACCCAGCCCACCCAGCTCGTCCTGTTTCCTGTATCCGGCATCCTGCGCCCCGCTCCCCGCCCCCCAAGCTGCATTCAAATGCATTTATTCGAATTGCACTCGAAAGTGTTGCATTTGATTTGATTAATTTATAAAGCGCGAGCACAGAACCCCCCAACCAACCACCACCCACCTCCCGATTTCACCCTTTTGGGTCCTTCTTTAACAGCACGCGTGGCAGAGTGTGTGTATGTTATTTGCTGTGGGTGTCATTGGTGAAAAGAGAAAGCGAAAACCACTAGAGACGGCACTAAAGTTGCCCAAGCGAAGGACATCCCAGCCCAGGGAGAGAGTCCTCCGGACAAGCTGCAGTTCAGTGCTTAGTTAGGCCTGGGCTCCATGGCTTCCTCTGTATCTATATATCTACATATATCTCTCCCTCATTTGTTTGTCGCTGCAACCACCGACCTCCTTGTAAAGCTAATCTGTAAATTGGTAGAAAACCAGAGACTCGAACACCAGAGAGATCAAAGTCCTTACACACGAGCTTACACTGCACAAAATACTCGAACACCCAAACTCATTCCATTCCATTCGACGGTGTGTGTACAAAGAGCTGGAAGTGGAGATGAGGATTACGAATCCCCCTGCTTATGCTTACTGCATTCTGTTTTTGTAACTACTTGTTTGTGTTTGTTGCTTTTGTTCCATTACTGTTACTGTTACTGTTCCCGTTTCCGTTTCCGTTCTAAGCCCCAGTACCCCCTGTGTTATATGATCCATCTGCGTTATTACCACATACATTACTGGAAGTTGTACGCGCGTTGTGTTGTGATCTTGTCACCCCGAGGTCCTGAGATCTCTCCCCCTATAACCGATACTGCCCGCCCCGATCAATTAATTGACGACCCAATAACCCCAACAACTGTACACACACAGCCACAGCCACAGCCACGAGCTCCAACCGAACTGAAAACCTGACACACGCCGATCACTAATGAGTTTCTTTTCCGTATCCCTCTCCTTCCATCGCTCCGCTAACAGGTGGCCAAGAACCCGCTGGCCAGCCTGGCTGCCTTGGGCCTGGCCGGGATGAATCCGGCCAGCACTGGGGGCATCAACCACACAGGTGAGTTGAGCGCTTCTGCGGCCAGATGCCAGACAGATTTCCAATCTAATCTAGGCTCTGCCCCAGCAGCCCTGGCTGCACTGGCCGGGTCGCAACTGCGTACAGCGAATCCCGCGAACCGAGCCCAGCAGCAGCAGCACGAGATGACCGTCTCCAACGACCTGATCGGCTGCATCATCGGCAAGGGCGGCACCAAGATCGCCGAGATCCGCCAGATCTCCGGCGCCATGATCCGGATCTCGAACTGCGAGGAGCGCGAGGGCGGCAACACCGACCGCACCATCACCATCAGCGGCAACCCGGACTCGGTGGCACTGGCCCAATACTTAATCAACATGAGGTAAGTTTCAGACGCTTGCATTTCTTTCACATCACTGTCTCGTTGCTACGCTCATGCCGAGCCCCTGTCGGAAGGCTTCGCTTTGGAAGGTCCTGCGCACCGAAAGGACTTTGCAGAGTGAGCTGAAGGCCCGGCATAAGCGTAGTATTTGCGTGAAATGCCTGTTGCTTGTGCTATGTAACATCAATTTTGTCGAATTGACTTGCTAATTGACAAACGAGAAGGTATAAGGAGGTCTTCGGTCTTAGGGCCCAGGTCGAAGGTGAACCCGGGGTCGGGACGGGACTCTCATAGTCGCGGAGTGGCGGCGCGTTCAAAAATAAACCATAAACTCCAACCAGACCAAGGCATTGAAGAGGAGGGCGGGGGATTCCGTAGCTTAAGTCACCAAACACACACTCGTGTCCTAGCCTGTAAGTCGTAAGCCCGGCAAAGCCACCAACTAGCACCACCAAGAAACAGAAAACCGAAACAGAAACAGAAATCTTATAATTTCGAACCTCACACCCCTAGATCGTAGTTCGCATCGAACACTACTAGCCTAACCAATGTTCTAGCTAATAGAAATCTATAAATATCTAACCTATATAAACATAGCATCTAGTTGTACCAACCAACCTCGAGTAATAAGCGACCGAAGAGCCGGATGAGCAGGAGCAGGACGATGAGGCCGCACCGACCTAATCTACGCATCGCACACTTTTCACACAATCGTCCAACCGAACAAATACCGGTCGAATGCCGGCCTGATCCAATTGGTACTTCAAACTGCAGTTCAACTCTTAAACAAAAAACGATCCAACAACCTCTCCCACCGCCCACCGCCCCACCTCGACCAACTGAATCCCCCCACCAAACCAAGCTCATCCTCCAAAAAACAATAAACTCTTTCGGTCCACGATTCCCTCTTTCAAAAGAAAAAAAAAACAAATCAAATACGAGAATACCGCTCACCACCAAGTTTTCTTCTCCTACCATCCAAATTTGAACGCCGCCTCCCACCAACCCCCCCAATTACAAAGTACGCACAGTGCTGACAGCCCCTCTTCTGAATCTCTCTCTCCGTCAACTCCGAACCGTTCCTCCACACAAAAACCTCCTTAACCTTTTGCATAACAAACACTAAAGAATCGAGCAAATCAAGTGCAAACCAACTCAATTCCACAAAATCGAATCGAATCGAAGTCGAAATCGAAAAGAACCAATGTTTTGAAAATACCTATCACCTGCCTATCAAAAGAAAACGATCCCAATTTGTTCCTTTCTTTCTCTCTCTCTTTCTATCTACCTTAACCGAACCTCGTCCACAGTGTTGAGCTGCAGAAGGCCAATCTCCTGGAGCAGGCCCAGGCCCAGCAGAACGGAGGAGCTGCCGCGACCGCCGGCGCCGCACCAGCCGGATCCGTAGTCGCCCCTGGTGTTGCTGGCGTGGCTGGAGCCGCCGCAGCCGCCGCCGCGGTGGCCGGAGGAGCAGCAGCTACCCCCCCATCTGCCGCCAATGGGGCCCTCACAACGGTGCCCCTAACCGGTGCCTCGGTTGTCGGCCCGGTTGCCACAGGAGCTGGAACAGGCGCAACAGTTGCCGCGGGAGCTGCCCCTGTATCGGTGCCCGGAAGCAACGGCACGGCCCTTGTGGCGAACGGAGCCACCAACGGCAGCGCCACTGCCACAGCCACCGGCTATGCCAGCGCCAATGGCGGCCAGCCGGCCAACGGAACAGCCCCAGCCACCGCCGCTGCCGCTCTGCAAAGCCCCCTGGCGTCGGCACTGCAGCTGCTGACCAAGCCCGGAGCACTGAGCGCCCTGTCCAACCTGAGCGCCCTTGACCTGCTCAGCCTGACCACCCTGGGCAGCAGCAACGGCGGCGCCGGAGCCCCGGGCGGGCTCCAGGTGCAGACGACGGGCGTCAACCGGGCCAAGGGACACTACGCCACCTCGCGGTTCCGGCAGCACCAGACGGAGACCGGCGGCGAGGCGGAGAAGCCGCGCAACAAGTTCAACCCGTATTAGGAGTGGTGGCAGCCGCTCAGCCGACGGTTAGCCGACGAATAGTCAGTCGCTTAGTTTTTAGGAATTCCGGGATAGCGTTGCGAAAGCTTTAGCGTTAGATTCTTGAAGAAACAAAATTGTATAAAATTCGTCATTAAGTTCCATTTTGTGCATCTGCATCCCCCAAGTAGGCTATAGTGCACCCCATTCACGTTATTCATCCCAAGTCGTAACCGAAGTTTCAAGACAATTATTGTGTAGTAGCAGCATATATACTTCTATATAGTTATCGAGGTTTTGAAGAGCAAACAATCCAATAACCAGAAACTGTCACATATTTGTAGATCGGCCCAGTCGGGCCGCTAGACATTAGTATTCGAGCGAAGGAGCCATGTAGCCATGTTATCGAATATGTAGGACAGAGGCCAGTCCCCGTCCGGGGACGGCCCAATCAAGATATTTTTGACCAAGTGACCAATGACCCAAGTGGGCGCTACAGATTTTGGACCCCGAAACTTTTGATAAATACATACATACTAATATATAGGCTCGAGCCCTCTCCCACGGGCCTCGGGCAGTATAGAATTTGCCAAATTTTAGCGCGTCCCTAGTAGCGTTCTTCGAAGCATTAGATTAGATTAGTTTGCGATTATAAAAGTCGAATATCGGAGTATCAGATATACATATAGAGTAGCCAACAGTCTTTCCCCAATCCACTCCAATCCAATCCAATCCAATCCATTCATTGTAACATATAACACGCTCCAATATCTTACACATTATACTCTCCTAGTTACTAAGCACTAAATGTATTTCCCCTATATATACGATATATATACCTATATATACACATAAATCTTAAGCATAAAGACCCAAGAGCCATTTGTCGAGAAGAGACGCAAAGTGAAGAAGTGAAGCAGGCAGAATTTGAAAGAACCTTCTATAAGAAGTACACAAAGAATAAATTCCAATGCGTTGAGCCCCGAGCCAAGATCCGAGCCATCGAGCGGCGAGGGGATCAACGACCTTTATGGACCAATTCGCTCTAATTGACGCAATCCACGCAATGAGCGTACAAAAAAGAAACTATTTGAATAGATCCCCGCATCCAGATGAAAACAAGGTGGTCAGTCCCCGATTCAGGCTTGAAAACTATGAATATGAATGAAAACTAATGAATTATATGAAAACGACGATGAACCGTTTGCTTGTATTAGACTTTAAGTCTTCGATTGTTTATGGAATTTGATTTCTGTTAGGTTTACACCCTACTCCTACCCCGATAACCCATTTGTATTTACCAAGCAATTGTAAATTTTGTTATTATTTGTAGCCAAGCTCTTTTGGATTGGTCAAGGATAATGTAGAAAAAGTATTCGGAAATTGAAATTTCTCTACCCTAAAGTACACGGATTGTAGTTGTAGTGACTCATACTCGATATGATTTTCTTATTATATATTTATACACTTAGACCTAAGCCAAAACACACACATTATGTAACACATTAAGCTAAGCGGGCTTACGATTTTATAACCAAATTATATTCCTAACTATTCATACATACGACATACATACCCACTTGCATACCCGATACATATACATATTATTATGCCACAATAACAGAGAGTAGTCGAACGTAATAGCGCAAATCGTATATTCAATGTAATACTTCTTGACATTTACAAAAAACCTAAACACTTACTTAGAACGGCTTGTCCCGTGGGCCAGGATCCGCGGAAACTTCAACAGGAGCGCGACAGACGGAATAGTATCGGAAAATTATTTATATGCAATGAGAAAATGATGGAAATACAGTACATGCGTTTGTAATAAAGTGAAAAATGAATAACTAAAAAAATACTGATGTTAGAGGTTGTCTCGGGGAACTAATCGGACGTGTAACTTGCCTTATAACTTGCTAAAAACCCATTCCACTTGCTCCTTTCAGAATATCCATGGAGACTGCTGGTCTGCCCATACCCGGATACCACTACATTGCGCCCAGTACAATTGTTAAAACGCCCATTCACTAAATGCAACAATCAATCGCCAGCAAGAAATCCAACAGCAACTGAGGATCGATGAGGAGGAGTACTGGAGGAGACGAGTTTCGGAGGACGTCGAATGCTGAATAACAAGCAGTTCATCAAAACATTAACGTTGGGGAGGAGATCCAGAGATCCAGGGATCGGAAATCAAACATCAAACACGAGACACACTCATAGACAGACACGCGGAGAAAATCATACATACACGTTATATTTATTCATTGATTCTTATTAATTATGATATTTTCATTAAGTTTTAAACGCAAGGGCAAACAAATACAAGAACTTATGTGTTGAACCGTTTTCGCGGGGCCCTATAACGTGCGTTCAGTGCGTGGGGCCGCCCCAAAGTAAGAACAGAACAGCAATTAATTTTAAGATTAGTCAAAATGAAGACAAAATAAAAGCATAAACTCTATTAACCACATAACAAGCGAACATAAGAAAGGCAGAAATTTCAAAAGCAAGCGCGTAATTCTAAGCAAACTATTTATGCATGAGCATGACCAAAAAAAACACAAAAAAAAAAACAGAAAACAGGAGTAAGCGAAAGGATTAAGCTTAAAGGATCGAATATAAAAAGAGACATTGAAACAGACTAACGAACAAACAAACCAAGCAAACAAAGACACAAACAAGGTACAGATCAACAGCAACATTACAATACTTCAAGTCGACCACTGGGGACCGATGTTTGCGTTTGTTAGTTGTTTGTTTATATGTACACGTATATTTTATGGTATATATAGAGGAGAGATGTATTGATACGATTTATTTTATTATTTCTATTATGGTAATTGTTATCGAAATTGTATTTGTGATTTTTGAATATGTTTAGACTGATGTGCAAAATTGATTCTGTTTATTGATTACAATTAAAATACACATAAATTACTATGGACTAATTAGCAATCTCTATCTTCTTCGTTCGTCTGTTCAGGATTTGTTTCAAAAGGATGAAGATGAAGGATCAAGAGTCGAACTAGCGAAAGAGATTTTATTTGAATATACTTATCGAAATTGTTGTATACTCCCATGTTTGGTTTCTAGTTAAATTGTTGCCAACCGACAACAAAACAATTACTTACGATTTAGTGAAGCAAATTCGAGCTACAATAATAATTTTTAAGCAATTTTGCGGCGATTAAAAAAGACTTTTTCAAGGCGTGGAATATACTAAAAGGAAAGATTTAATTATATTACAATTATGCTTAAAGTAAAGTATAATTTTAATTTATTAGCTGTTAAATTTATACGCAAAACAAACTAAAAAAGCGAGAACAGAACAAAAAGAATCACAAGAAAAGAAAACATCAAAATAAACTGATTTTCACTGTTAAAATGACAAATTATATTAATTTTATTTAGTTTACGAATTTAGTTCGTAGGCTGGGCAGTAAAAGCAAAAGGATCACCGAGACACACTGAGAACATTTAGTTGCATTCAAATGATAATTCACGAAAGAGCCTCTGTGACGAAGGTGAAAGCGAAAGCATCAGTTTGCTAGTTGGCAAAATGTGTCAAATTTTATTCTACATATATATTAATTATTTCGTAAGACAGTTATCGAGACATAGAGTTATCAAAACAACCAACATATCCACTGCAAGAAAACCAATCTAATCACCACTTATATTAACCAACACAAGATACAAAAGTAACAAAAATATAAACCCTTAAATTCATACATATAAGACAAACATATCCCAGAGAACGCAATGCATTAATCTAAACCAATACCTTATGTATGTATAATTTATATCAAAATTGAACGGCAATTTGGCGGTCTGTTTTTTGACTTTCAGAGCAAATTGCAAAGTGATTTTTTTGTGCAACATCCATTGTCGCGATCTAATTTTTAGCAGTCACTAGATTAGCATCTTCCGCTCATACAAAACTTATGAAAGAACAAAACTTGATTACAGGAAATTGTTAATAGCATAAAGAGTAATACTATGAATAATTAAACGTGTAAACGAGCCTGGTCCGAGGGATAAGCTGTATTCGAGGATCAAGCCACTGGCGAGAGCGGCGTCTAACGAGATATCATAAGGCGAAACTATTTCGTGATTTTAATGACAAATATATTTCGCTGTCGCTGACGACAAACAATTTGAAGCAATCATTTTGAATCAAAGAACCGCGGTTCTCAACTTAAACAAAATCTGGAATGAATATGAAAACAAATGATATGCTTGGGAGGAGGAGGGAATCGAGTAAATCCATATATCTATACATAAATGAATGATATATCTATATATAAATATACATAAATTAAATATATAATTATTATGTACACTTGTATTTAAATGTATTCGAAATATTTAGTAAATTTTTTGCGCAAGTTACACAGACTTACAGAGAACACTAAAACAAAAGATGAAAAATATTTAAAAATGAAAAAAGACGAGGGCGACTACGGAGATAGACGGGTCAACAGCGGGTAACTGGGATTAATTGTAAAATAAAAGTAATGAAAGGGATAATTAAATTATGTGTATGTGTGTATAAGAGAAGTAGCTCAAACATTTCACAAAACATTTTACTTAATATGCGTGTGTAATTAATGTAATTTAATAACGACATTTTGTTGACAAACTTGTAAATTTGCAAAGGAAAAATACGTGTAAGAAAAGCAATTTTAATGGTGCCTTAAAAACCAAACCAAACCAAGCAAATTTCTTCAAGCCTGCCTTGCCTCAATCCCCATTCCCAACTGGATGGCATGTGAGTTTTCTACTCCTTTTTCTCCTGCTCTTTTCAAGACTTCCCACGGACACTGGTGTCCGATCCGGTCCCCCGGTCCTTCCTCGATCAGATCGAGCCCGACTGGTGGCTGGGCCGGCACTTAGGCCTTAGTTAATATGCGTGTTATATCATTTCGACATAAGAACTTATCCCTTTTAGCGAAACACGGTGACCCACAATTGCTCAAAGCTATCCGAGTCTGTGCAAAAAGTTGCCCGTTACATTTGCGAATTGGATTCGACAGCCCAACTTACAATTAGCTACAAAAGAACACGTAGTGGATGTGACACTGAGATCCAAAATGAACAACTAGCCCGAACAAAAAAAGCAAAAAAAAATGAACAAAAAAAGGATACCCAAAAAAACACAAGCAAAATATTATCAAATTATATACATATACAGCAAAACAAACACATTAATGTTTCTCTCAGTGTAATTACAAATCACTTGAATGTATTTGCTCACATTTTTACAATACATGTCGAAGAACTCTACACAATAAGCAACAAATGTAAAAGCATTTAAGGCACTTGGTCGATCGATCGATCGATTAATCGATTGATTGAGAGGATGGGATGATCGGACTTTGGATGCAAGATAATTGTTAAACAAATCCACTGAAGGAATGGGTTCGATAAACCAGACAGTATAATCTAAAAGAAAACAAAATATTTATATACATATGAAAGCAAAAGCAAAAATGAAACTATATTTAAGGTATTTTAGATATTCTTATTTAATATCCAGAAAACAAGACGAGAAATTATACGAGCAGAGTTTTAGTTTAGGCACAGAGTAGTAGGGAGAGAGAGGTATGGGTAGATCGGGTCTAAGTAATGAACAAAATATATGTGTATTAACTAACTAAATATCAGTGTTAGAAATTTTAAGCAAGTAGGATCAGAGAGGGGCGGTAAGATGGCGGTTTTACTCTACCGGTCCATCCTGGCGGGGAGTGCAGGCGATCCTGTTGTTTGATTCAGTTACATCCGAGTATCCCTTAATTTGTGTAAACATTATGAAACGAGCATTAGCGCAAGAAGGCATAACTACGTGTATTCCAATTCATCAAAGCAATTGAAGAATTAATAGAACACCTAGGCGGGACGCACCCGGGCTCGCACCTGGCCCCCCTAGCCACTAGAAATATACGAAACATCTAAGGTTTCTCAGCATAACAAAGCGAATCAAAGCAAAACCAAATATCGATCATATTATCTTACGTAGTGGAAACAAGCAACTTAACTACTAGCATATGGTACACACATGCAGTGCATACATTAGCCATGCAGACGGCAACGGACCCCATAGCTTGGTTGGACAATATATGGCGTTGGATTTGGATAGTGGGCTATTGTTAGGATATTGGCGCATAGTTTACACAAAATTACCGTATGTATATGTGTGTGTGTTTGTATACGTGTAGGCATTAAGTTGGGGGAGGATCTCTTCTAATTGTAAGCCCAAGAGGCGGGACAGCACATCCGGAAGCACTGCATCCGTTCCGGGCCAATCAGCCCGGAAACGGAAATAATAACCGACGGCAAACTAGTTGCCTAGCATGTAGGACTCTCTCTTACTCTCATCTTAATGGAAGACGAAAAGAATGAATATGCAGCGTAAAATTGATAAAACTGAACAATTGGGATCAACTTATATTTTAAATATAAGATTAAATTGTAAAACAAGACCTAAGCAAACTTTTTAATTAAGCCCCGAAGTTTGTAGAGGAAGCTACTTAAATCTAAAGAGCGTCTAAAAACGAGAAACGATAAAACTTACATCATTTTGTGCCAAAAATATGATAGCAATTTGAAGGCAGAAGCAGGCGAACAATAGTTACCAACATTTAATGGCCAAAAGCACAACAGCTAACCACAGAGAGAACACAAAGTAAATTCTTTGCTTTTTTTGGGGGAACAACACATAGGAATTATACGAATTTCAATGGATTCACCGTCGTCAGACAGCTACTCACTCACACAAGTATTTAAATGTTCACATTTGCTCAATGCAAAGCACTTAAAGGAGCTTATTTAATGAAAACCAAAAACAAAACCAAAACCAAAACCAAATACAAATCAATACTAAACCATATAGATGTGCGTAACCATTTCTGTATAAATAATATTCAATCTGGCTGTATTCGCAGTTTTATTGCTATTGCTAAAAGTGTGCCAAATATCTCCCAGATGAACCAAAGCTGAAATTGCCGACAGAAGTTCCCATTGGTTTCGTTGCATATTTTTAGGCGAATGCCAGGTTCAGGTTCGACCAGCCCCTGAGATTATGTTGCAAACTGACGAATTCGGGGAGGCAATACAGACGCAGATGCAGATACAGATACAGATGCACAGCTATAAACAAAATTAAATTAATAATTGAGGACATGAAAGGTTAAAACAAAGGCAAATGCTAACTAAACATATTTACAAGTTGAAGAAAACTGCAAGGCAATCATATAACTAGAGCTTCAATAAATAAAAAGGACAAAAAGTGTCATAAAATGGGAGGAATTATGGCTATAAAACAAGTTAAAAATGCCTAGAAAGTGTTTTGGACAAATATATATTTAAGCCATATTCCCAATGAACAAAAACAAAAAAAAAAAAAAAAAAAAAAAAAAAAATAAAGATTTGCGTTATTATTGTGGTTAAAACATAATAAAGATGTGTTAAAAAAAGAACTAAACCAAAAGTTAGTGCCAATTTTTAGTGCAAATTTTTGCGTAATTGTTTTGATTTCAACGTTATTGAAAATAAACCAAGGTAAACAAAACAAAAGTATAGAAAACGAACTGTTGGTTTCAAAACCACCAATTTTTGGGAAGACTTTCGAAACAGATACAAGATACAAGGACACAGGACACAGCAAGGGGCGGGAAACCAAACCAAAAATCGTAGCACTCAGCACCGCATAGTTTTCGATGTGAACCATTATGTGTAGTGTAGCGTAGAGGCAATTTACCCACGAACATACACCTACATATGTACATGTAGCTCAGCTGGGAGACAACACTCACCATTACTTTGCACTCCCACAAACGGACAGGGAACCTAATCAGTAGGCGGCCCAGGACTAGGCCCAGGACAGGGCTTCACCAGGCACTCAGTAACCAGTAATCAGTAATCAGTAATAGGTTCAGGGTACATTTTATTGAACGCAGCACTGAGAACAGGAACTTTTAGATTGCAATACACTCGATGCGACTCGAAAACTAGAAGAGTAAAGGTAAAAATAAAAATAGAATCAGGCCCGGAAAAGGGCTACCATGTTATATCGGCTATCGCAAAATTTAAAGTAATGTTAAGCCATAAGTGAAATTAATATTGTTTATCTGTGTACAACAATAATATTTAAATAATTCTTAATGTGTATTGTGACTCTAAAACAAAACAAAACAAAAGCAAACCAAACCAAACCAATTCATTGACACAGGACTATTTTGAAGTGTCCTAGTTAGGATTCGATCAGAGTTCTTCTCGCTGAGGAGCTTCACGCTTTGATCTCAGACCCGGACAGCCCTACAGACGATGCTCTTCACATGCTAGACACACAGATCTTAATCACTGTAAGGATAAACATAATACAATAAGTAGCCCAAAAGGAATTCTTCAGAAATAATGGCTAAATGTACAAGAAAACGGTAGAAGCGAGTTAAAACACAGAAGAAAACAAAGTAATGATACCACACTCGAAAGCAAACATTATTTACAACGTATTTACAATTCTATATAAATTATATTTAAAAAGTATTTACATATATACGAGAAAAACTCACTGTGTAGGTACATATGTGCGACTCAGCAAAGGACCCCGTAAAGGATTCGTTCTCACACTCACACCTCCACATATCCACATTTCCACACATCCGCACCCACAAACACTCGCTTTCGAAGGCATCGCCATCGGGGTGTATCGGTACAGGACGAGGAGTCACGAATGCCTTCTCTGATCACCATAAGACACACACACAACGACAGATCACTCACAGACACAGACTCACACACACGCAAATTTAAGTGCATTATAATTGAATTTATAGAGTTAAACGAAGCTATTAAGTGAAATTATTTAAACTGATTAACTGATTATGATTATTATTAACGATGCATACGCATTTACTCACAACTCATATACACACCTATATAAAATATATATCTATATATACATGGCATATATCGCTGAAAGAATTTCCGTTGGTAAAACACCCATATAAGCAAATCAATTATGTTATCATATACATATACCACATCATATCAGACACGAAGAGAATCACTGCAAGTTTACCCAACCAGAAGGATAATTGTAAGAGATCGAGATCGATTTTGAAAGCTACATAGATGTGTTGCGTTCTTTGAATAAATGTTTTTTGAGTCGAATTTTTACTTCAAAAACCAATGAAAATCTAATAAAATGAATAATATTAATTCAAACCAAGTCACACACAGACCTAATCATACAAATGTTATCTGTGTGAAAGTCGTAAGAAATTGCAGAAATTGATCATGAAAATGTACCACTTGAGTAAGGCGATGAGCCCTTATGATGTATGAACATAAAACCAAAAAAGAATTTAACACAATTTTTGAATTCATTAAATAAAGGTATGTGTTTAGATATATTCAAAACAACCCCCACCTGTGTTTTTATTTCAGGGCTATTCAATTTTCAGTCCCCCCGCATTCTGTATTGTCTCATTTTAATGGAACAGACGGTGTGATATCGGTGATAATGGAGCGGATAACAAGTATACGACGTGTGTTAATTGTTTCGATTTTGTCAATGCAAACGGCGTATGGCAAGAGGCCAGCTGGTGGCACAATGGATGCTGAAAAGGCCGCCAAAACTTCATTCATAAACCTATAAGCAGCATACAAAAATAAATGTATATATTTTATGTGCCCGCTGGCCTCTCTTTAATAAACAAACAAAAAAAATTTAGAAAAAGAGAGCAAACCAGACCAGAGTGCTTGTATGTGAGAGGGAGAGGTCTTCGAAAAGGTATATGTAAATATATTATTTTAGTCCCCACGTAATGCGGCGATTTGTTAGTCGCTAATTGCGTTCAATAGGCGAAACCTGAATGAAACAAAAACGGAATTCGATCGCTTTTTGACAGCCTAATACCTGACCAGGCATTTGAGAACGTTACGCTATTCAACCTCAATCACGTTTCAAAAAAAAAGCTACAATTATTGGGAATTACATTTTTTGCATAATTAAACATCGACCTGCTTCTAAAGTAATTTAATATAGTGAGGCCACTATTTAAATGACCCTATTTCAATATCATTTGTATAATTGAATTTCAACAGTGTCAACCCTGCGAATACGTAATAACTTACCCTTCATCCTATGGGAAATATATAAATATAAATCCACTTATAAATAGAATCAATAACAAGAGGGACTTTCCACTTAGATAAAATATTTTAATAAATTATTTTTAATTTATACTTCATTGTTTCACATTTTGTTATTATTCAAACAAAATAGTCCATAATATATTATCCGACTGTAGGGTGTTTTTAAATCAAGTTTGTTCTAGTGTCTGGTCATTTTTTGTATGTTTTACTTGGCCGGTTAAAAGATAAGTACTGCACTTCATAAGTAGCTTATTATAAAATAAAGCCACTGACACTTGCTCTTGATCATTTTTCCATACATATATAACAGCATCGTCATAAAATACACTAAATGTGTTATGAGATTGAATGTTTGGACTGATGTTTTGGCTGTCGTCCAAGGAAATGAAATAAAATCCCATAAACTATCACGATAGAGGCACGTGACCAGTAAAAGTGTTCCGTTTGAATTTTAAATATCTACATAAATATAGTGGATGTTTTATGATTGTAGTTTTGTGTTATAGATTTTTTATAAATTTATAAATTTTTATAAATTTTTTCTAATTTATTGGTTTAGAATTTTTATTTTTAACACACTTGCTCTACCCAAAATATTGATAGTTCTAACCGATTTATAAAGTTTAATAGCTGTATCAAATAATGTGAATAAATATATATATATTTTAGTTTTTAAATGTTTTCATTTATTTGGGAAAAACAAAGAAATAATAATAATAAAAAAATTATTAAAAAACTGGTAAAATTTATTAAATAAAATAAAAAAGTGGTTTATGTTTATGTAACATGCATCATTATGTCATGTAACCTTTATTCTTAAGGATTAATCTGTTCCATAAATAGTTCCCATTTTTCCAATTATCCATAATTTATTTTTAAATAAAGCCGAAAAACTGTTGAATTGGATCAAAAGCTTGATTTTAATAATATATAATATATTTTAATAATATAAGATATCCTAAAAAAACCTAACTTTATCTACTTAAAAATTGCATTTTATATTAATAATAAGCCTAAAAGCCTATGATATAAGGCTAAATATAAAATTTGTGTGTATATATTTATAGACTTCTTGAGGAATGAAATAATTTCCAGTCCTTAACTAATTTAACGATCAATCGAATTCCAGGAAGTATTTTGATAAGATTAGAGTGTACCAAGTGGTGTCTAGCCTGGCAGATCACAAACTGGTAGATTATGTTCGTTCTTTAAGAGTTTTTTTTAACAAAATTTAGCTTTTGGAAAGATTTTCTTTGTTTTTGAGATAGAAGAGCAGAGGCTCCTTGGGCAATGGATTCATGGACTTTGTCCAGCCATCACCTTATACAAATCTCCGGCTGTCCAGCTTGTGTGCAGCCAATCCAGCGCCGACACACCGGCAGACCGCAGGGCTGGTCCCATCTCTCCGGCAAGCCTGGCAAGAAGCAAAACCGCAACCGCAACCAGAACCCAGTGGAGCAGCAGCCTTATCGAGGTGGCTGGCCGGCGGCGCTCAACAGTTGGTCGGCGGTACGAGCTTTCTCACTCGGCGCCGGACTACGATCGCCTCCACTCGGTGTTTGGCTCGCAAATTTTGGATCCGATCTCCGTCTCCGGACCGCAGTTCGAGGCGCGTCATTGTGCCGTACGCATCGCGAAAGTGTTCAGCCGTTGAGGTAAAAATAAATGTACATATACATTTTGTAAATGAAAATAAACGCGCACGAGTGCTGAATTATCCGAAAACGTGCGTTAATTGTGACCAAGTTTCTAATAAACAATTCAGAAATGGCGGCTAGCGAAGCACCGCCCGCGGAGGTGACAGTGGAGGTACAACCGCCGCCAAAGGATCCGGAGGACGTCACCCTGGACGCTATCCTGAAGCACCTGGGGCAATTCGGGCGCTTCCAGCTGATCATCTTCGTGCTCATTTGCCTCCCCATGATGTTCCACGCCATGTTCTCGGTCACCTATGTGTTCACGGCATCCACCGTGACGCACCGATGCCACATTTCGGAGTGCGATTCGGCGGACAGCTCCTACTATGAGAGCCACACGGCGTTCAGTATTCCGCACAACGGCAAGGATCTGGACTCCTGTAATCGGTATACCAACTACCATCTCTCCCAATCTAACCAGTCGCTGCTGGAGGACATCTGTGTGGCCGAAAACTACCAGGAAAAGAAGGCAATAGCATGTCCAGACAACAAATTCGTCTTTCGCGATGATGAAGTAACAATTTCAAATGACGTGAGTATCAAAGTACCACCTTCGATAGGGGGTGCTGTTATCAAGAACCGCATAGCAGACTCTCAAATCCACCGCCGGCACATGTGGACTTTGATAAGTCAGCCGATCTAAGACACATGCTGCTTAGACAGATTCTAATCCCCAATTAGTCCTTATAAACTGCAAGCTAGTGACTCTGGTGGGTAAAAATGAAATATTAGTACTATTTTATAGCTTCATAATTGTCTGATAAGAAGGTATATTAACCTTTAATCGGTTAATATACCATAAAACCGTTGACGAAGCCATTTGATTAACAACCAACAAATGCCAGAAATAAAAATTCCCAAAATTGTGAAATTAATAGTTGGCCAGATTTGATGTTAAGATTCAATTATATATTGGAGGGATCAAAGCACTATGAATTTCTTATCTGTTGATTAAGTAAATTATTTATTTAATATATCCTCTCCGTGGGGTTGTCGGAAACTGAGATTGTGCGCCACTATTAAGTGCTGCCCAAAAGCTTCACTGATAACCGCCCGCGTAGTTCATAATCATAATCGAAGGCGGATTCGCAGACGGGGCCCGACCCGGCTTCACTTAGGCGAGCTATGATTGCAGTAGAGGGCCGTAAACCTCTTAATGTATTGATTAAGCACTGAGCATGAACCATTAAGTGTAACGGCGAGAGCGTCAGCTGAATCAACAAAGATACCATTGAGCAGGTCCAAAGGTAAACAAACTTGTATCATTTACTTAATAACCATTAATTGAGGAATTTTACCACTTAAAAGGTAAACAAATTCGCTTTTCACGGCCACATATGATGGCTCACCCTTGGGTTCCTGCTATCAAAAAAGTCGGAAGCCGCTTCTTAAGTGGTCTGACGAGATTTAGAACGTTCTTTATCAGATTTATTAGACAATTGGATACCCAGATATGATGTATGACTGGCATCTGCTAGATAAGTGCCTCAGTTGCCTTAAACTCGAGCAAAACCATCACAACGTGGAATAAACAAAGTATAGATTATGATATTCACAGGCAAATGAGGTTGCAATTGCCTTAAATAGGGCTGGCCTTAGTATACCTTAACTTCAAGGAGCGTTATAGCTTCTACAATTTTCACAATTTTGTAACAAACAAAAAAAATATGAAAAGAATGGCGTCAAAGTCCGAAAAACACGAAAAAATTGCAAAAATGCCCGTTTCTTGTGTAAAAATTGTATTCTTTTTGTTTAAAAAAATTGAAGATACATTTTTTTCCACATTTAACTATTGAAAAACGTCGGAAATTTTAAAATTGGATCAAAATTTCGCGTTTAGGAATTTTTAAGAACAAAAAGGTCCCGACACACGGTGTTTTCTATATAAATAAAGATTTTGAGGGTGTTACAAATATTTTAAACACGATTTTGTGTTATATTCGACCTAATAAAAAATACCTACTATGTCTCTTTAAAAGTTCCAAATCACGGCCGCACTGTGTAATTTATATTAATTTTATTAATCTTAGTTATACTAGCTTACGTCGTATCGTAGCTTATGTCTTATTCACAAAGAAACAATATTCAGGTATATAGTACATACATAAACACAAAAACTTTAAAGCTTCCAAAAATGAAAACCTAAACAGCAATACACGTACACTTCAAAACATTTAGATTTTACAACTTCTTAGATTGTTTTATCTTATTTTATAAATAATAGATGTCTTATTATTAAAAAATAAAAATCTATTCCGCAACAAATACATACGAACATTTATCAAATAAATAGAATTAATGAGTTTTGGGAAAGGATCTATGGAAAAACTTAAAGTAACGCGATAAAGGTTATGGTTTTCGAATCTGATTTATTTAAAAATATTAAAATTATATATATTATATATTAATATATTAAATATATTTAATTTTTTAAATAATTCCTATAAAAATGACTCCCTTTTTAGTTTGGCATTTTCTGCGATGACGAATGGAAGCTATCCATGGTGGGTACGATTAATAACCTGGGACAATTCTTTGGTATTCCCATCGGCGGTTATGTGGCGGATCGGTGAGTGAAAATAAGGATCTGTTTAAAGCCTCTTCTTTATTCCCCACATCTCCGCCAGCTATGGACGCAGTTTCTCGATCGCCCTGGGCGGAATAATGGGCGCCGTGATCGGCACTATTCGCTCGTTCTCGCCCAGCTATGCGTGGTTCCTGGTATTCGAGTTCCTGGACAACATGACCAGCAGCACGCTGTATTCCACCTGCTTCGTCATCGGAATCGAGTTGGTGGGGCCCCGACGGCGAGTGCTGGCCTGCAGCGTGATCACGGTCTTCTACGCCGTGGGTGAGGTGGCTCTGGCCATGTTCGCCAAGGCCTTCCCCGACTGGCGCATCCTGCTGCGCATCACCTACATGCCCTCGCTCATTCTGGTGGTCTACTTCTGGATCCTTCCGGAGAGCGTGCGCTGGCTGCTCAGCCAGGGCAAGGAGGAACGGGCCAAGGGCATTCTGCGCCGAGCCGCCAAGGTGAACAAGCGCAAGCTCTCGGAGAGTATGCTTGACAAGCTCGTCCTCGCCAACCGGGACAAGTTGGAGCAGTCGGCGGAGAGCAGGTTCCCCATCCGAGAAGCCTTCAAAAACTTCAAGTGGCGAATCGCCAACTGCTCCCTCTGCTGGATAGTCCACGTGTTGGTCTACTATGGCCTCAGTCTCAACGTGGTGCTCCTCGACGGTGACAAGTACAACAATTTCGCCTACATTGCGCTCGTGGAGATCCCCGGCTTCTTCTTGCCACTCGTCATCATGGACCGCTTCGGCAGGCGCTTCTCCCTCTGCGGCCTGATGCTCACCAGTGGCCTCTGTTGCATCGGAACGATCTTCACCGGGCCTGAGCAGCCGGTACTGCAGCTGGTCATGTTCCTCGTGGGCAAGCTGACTATCACGGCGAGCTTCCAGGTGCTGTACTTCTTCGCCTCTGAGATCTACCCCACCAATCTGCGCAACAGCCTGCTCAGCTTCTGCTCCATGATGGGCAGGTTCGGCTCCATGCTGGCGCCTCAAACGCCTCTTCTGGTAAGTATGGGATACCATTTATGCTTCTCAATTTTTAATAATCGTTTCCCCCCAAAGGCCAAGTATTATGCCAACGCTCCGGCCATGCTCTTTGCCGGGGCCGCCATCGGGAGTGGTCTTCTTACTTTGTTCTTCCCTGAGACCACCAACGTCGTCCTGCCCACCACGGTACAGGAGGCGGACGCCATTGGCGTGAAGAAGAAACCTTCGCAGGCCAAGGACCTCGATCTAGTCGCACCGGCCAGCCCGCCGCAGTAACCAGTCAGCAGTACAATCATAGGCTAAGGCAACCTGCATATACAAAGACATTTCTCTTCAAATGTGTTATATACTTTAAGAATAATGCTTACATAAATATTATATTCTAGCCATTACAAAGAATGGGTTTTGATTTATTTTTCAGTTTGGTAATGGTCAACATTCAGGTTTATGAGTACTTATATTAGAACAAGGAAAACAAAAAAAAAAAAAAAACAAAATAAATGGCTTTCCAAAGCAAAATACTTGAAAATAATACATAAACTTTTCACTTGTTTTTTAAGCAGACATCTGCTGATATGGCTAGTAACTTGATGTGAAAAAAGGATAATGATTAAAAAAAAGACACTAATTCTAATAAATTCTTGTGAGCTTATATCCTATCTTCCCTTCGGAAGAGCCAAAGTGTGATCAAATGCAAATAAAATACACGAGTAGTCTCCAGGGCACTAATTCTTTTGGCTGAAAAACTGGACAATGGTCTTGCTTCCCTTGGATGGGCCGCCAATGGTGTTGTTTAGTTGCTTTTGCTTCTTGGACTGTCCCGGGGAAGATTTCTCTTTTTCCGACTCTGCGGCGCGGCTGCGCAGATCCTGTTGGTTCAGCTCTCGCTGCAGGTTTCTGGCCACGTGGTAGTCCAAGTGCTCCGGCATATCCACACTCTTGATGAACGCCTTGCATTCGGAGCACTGCTCCATGGGAACATCGCTGGGAGGGGGCTCTTTAATTGGCTTGGCACTGAAGAACTTGGCAATGCTATTGGTCTGAGATGCAGTGGTGCTTCCTGATCCGGCAGCCTTCTTTTGCTTTTTAGGAGGAGTCGGTTTGGTCGCCTCCATCGGGCGACTTTGCTGGCGCTCCTCTCGCTGCTCGCTTTTCAGCTGGCGACTAAGGTCTTGTGCAAAATGATGGTCGCGATGACTTTGCAGGGACCTGACGTCGTCTGGTATCTTGGCGCCACACTGATCACACTGGACCATTGGAAGGAGGTCGCTACGAAGTTCTGGTACGGCAAACTCGGCATACGTCTCCTTGTAGTCAAGTTGATCGAACTTCCTTTTTGAGGTAGATGGCATGAGGTCCTCTTCAGAGAGAGGGGGTTCATCCATAGGATGATTTTCCTTTGACACTTTGAGTGGGAAAGTATCCATTATTTCAGTGTCTCTTGAGGTAGTAGGTTTATTTTTCAATTTTTCAACCGAGACCTCTTTCTCTAGCACAGACTTTTGAGCCTCTAAAACCGACACTGGCTCCTCAATGGTGTCTTCGTCGAAATCCTTCGAGTTGTCAGCCTCTATGGCGTCTAGCTCCTCAGCCAAACCTTGCAACTCCTCGGAGTTTTCAACAACGGACTCGCTTTCCTGCCTTTGTTGCTTAAGGTATTTGGCAAAAAAGCTTCCCTTCATCTCTGGCGGCGTTGAGGTCACAGGGGGTCCACCATCAGCCTGTGTTACCGCCTTCAGCTTTTGCTTGTATTCGTCAAAGAAACTCTTCTTGGGAGCATCCTCTGGTGGAATATTTTCAACCTCATCGGTTGCGGGCTTCTTTTCTTTCTTTTTGGCGCCTTGCAAGTAGTTGGCAAAGAAGCTCTTCATCTTGGACTCCTCAGTTTGTTTGGGCTTTGTTTCTGACTGGACCTTTGGTTGCAGCACCGGCTCCTCCCCACTTATGCGCCGTTTCTTAGCCGCCTGGTTGGCGAACATCTCCTGCAGCTTGTTCTGGGCGTTGGACACTGTCTCGAACTTTCCAGCGCTTATTCCCAGAAATTTTATGGCGTTATTTAACGCGGAATCACTTCCAGCGCGTAGGAATGTCTTTGTATTGCTCCTGATCAGTTCTAGAGCGAACTTGGCCAAGGACTCCTTGTCGTAGTCCTTGAGCGCTTGGGACCGGGAGCTGGATACTTCGTGGCCGTCAATCTCTTGTATGTACTGCACCACCATTTGCTTGGCCTTGCGATTGTTTTCCATGAAGTCCTTCTCCAGCCGTTCATTAATCTCGGAGGCGAGCTCCCCCAGCCAGTGCTGGAGCGACTTTAGGCCCGTGATGTTATTCCGTCCCGGGAATTTCTTGCAACAGCCAATGCTCTTTGAATAAAACCTCGGTGTGACTGCTTCCAGGTCAATTCCCCGTGCTATGTTGAAAAGCCAGGTGCTGCCATAAAATCGTATAAGTTTAGTCGTTCGTATTGGAATCGGAAAGTAGGCTAAAGACTCACCCATTCTTTTCGTCGTATTTCCGCTGCAACTCGCCCTCGGAGAACTTGCACAGTTGGCCCAGGAACTTGACACCTAGAGTCTCGCACACTACTTCGCCAAACTTTCCCCCCAGGCCCTTAATCTTGCCCACCGGCAGGGAGTCAAAAAAGCCAGGAATCTCTCCCAGCGGAAGGATGGTCTGCTTGTTTGGTTTGTTCAGCCCAGCAGCCAGCTTGGCCAGAATCTTGTTGTGCGCTATGCCAGCAGAGCACTCGTAGCCAGTCTCCTTCTTCACAGCCGCCCGCACTTCGCCGGCCACAGCGGCCCCAATGAGCAGTCTGACGTCGCTTTGCCGGACGGCAGGCAGGTCGTTCTGGTCATAGGACAGCTGGAATCGCTCGTCGTCAATGTAGGGGTTGGCGAACCGATTCGTGATTTTGTTCACATAGTCCCCGATGTCCGGATAGCCCACGGCATAAGTGTTCACCAGGTCTTGCGGCTTCAAAGCAAAGGCCCCCTAAAAAAAGGTTTTAGATGAGACTATTTAATTTTTGGCCATTTTTTGTTAGAAATTCCTACGCTTTCCATCTGCTTGGTGCGCAGGTTCACAGTTTCCGTTATGTCCAAGTAGGCCTCGTCCACAGAAGCGCGTTCCAGAAGCAGCGTGAACCGCTGCAGGACGTTGGCCACCTCCTTGCCGGCGTCGCGGTATTTGCTCGTGTCAGCCTTCTCGCGGATGTTTGGCACCTGGCAGAGGACGATCTCGGGGCAGAGATCCCTCGCCTCGTCGCCCCGCATGTGCCGGGTGACTCCCTTGGCCCTAGCTGCGTAGTTCACAGCGATGATGCCGCCCCCGCGCCAAGGGTTGTATTGCACCACGGCAAGCGGCTTGTTTCGGTGCTCTGGGTTCTGTTTCTCCTCTACCTGGCAGAAGAAGCAGTCCATGTCGACCAGTAGTACCACGCGGTCGTATTTGCTCTGCATACTGATTTGGCTCCGTGCAGTGGCCATGGTTTCATGTCGCGATATTCAATTCTATTATTTTATAACTACAGGTCCTATTCGCGCCGGAAGATACGAACCGGTTAAGAATCTGGCCGTACTGTGCAGCACTGCATTATCCGCTTTCCAACACTAAGAAATCGTCGATAGAACTTGTTGGCCTTGCCACACATTCCGAATTTAGATCACTGTAGTCGATTTTTAGATCCAAGTTCTTAACTCCCTTGAAAAATATAAACAAACAAGTGAAAATTCGAAAATGGATATGTGCAATCAGGAGTTATCCTTAAAATCCTATAAAATCATTGGAACGGACTATTAAGGATCAAAATCGCAACTAGTCCCATAAGCTCGCCTAAAGCTTATGTGAGTGTTTTTCCAAGACCGCAAGTACGAGTTTCCTGAAAGATTGAAAATATTCCGCCGCCTACAGTCGCCCTAAAAGAAAAACTCAAGTTTCACTTTTTACCGAATCAAAGCCTCCGGGGAAAATTGCTGGCCGTGCTGTGATATTGATTTTCTGGCGAAAGCCGCTGCCAAAATGCAATCTAAATACACACACACCCCCACACTCCCCCTTTTCAACGCCGCCCGGGTTCATTTGGGTTAATGCACGGATTATTATCGCAGGATTTATTGATCGGCCGGACCAGAGACCAGAAATAGATTCCCTTAGTGTGCCGCTCTCTATTTCCGGCTACCCATTTCCCCTTCTCATTTTCTGAGCCGCTTTCACGACTGTTTTGATTGATGCGACTGGGGGCGGTGGTCAGCGATGTCCTCAACGGCTTAATTAGGTGACCGCACGTAGGAGCCCTCCGAGTGGCCTAGCCCTTGTTGAAACCGCCATGACCATGTTTGTCAAAGCAAGTCAAGGGGAGGAAGCCGGTGCGGGTGGTCATTGTGGAGCCGGAAGCGGGAGCGGGAGCAGGAGAGAGAGAGCGGAAGGAAGGGCGTGTTCGGGTATATTTTCGTGACCTAATTCCTCGTCTGTTTACCTTACGAGCGCCTTTCGGTGTGAAGGGTCGTACGCCGCAGGAATGCTAACGGAAGCAGAAGGTGCAGCACTGACCTATTGTAATATTCCGTGCCCTTTTAAGGCATCGTTGTGGTTGAAATTGTATCCCCCATTACCAGTCTCATTACCTGTTTGAGTTACGCAGGCTTTTCTCTGTTGTATTATTTCCTCTAAAAACTTGTTAATATAACTTGATTAAAGAGTTAAAAAAAATAAAAATTTAATTTTGATTTGAAGTAGAATTTGATCTTTTATTTATTTTCTGATTATTGGCATTGCTCCTTATGGGGAATGTAATAATTGTTATTATGCGTCTGTGACTTGCATTCCAATATTAATTAATTTCAATTCCCCAAAGCTGATTAAAATTTATTGCCTGGCTCTTCAGAGAGTCTACTATCAAGAGCTAGCCCTTCCTAGCTCTGTCTTCCCATTCCCCGATCCAGCATGGACGCACAATTATGTTAATGATTGCCTGCCCAACAGCAAACACAACAACCACTTGACCGAGCTCCGCTAAGTGGTCTTTCATTGCCCACTGCCCACTCCCACTCAGAGTTCTCTCTCCCTCGCCACTCGCAGAGAGTTCTCCGCGCTGGCCGACTGATTCACCATGAGACCATCAGTCGGTGTGCGTCCGGCGATGAAGTCACTCTGCTCTGACCAGGGCGTTGTATTTGCGGAAGAGTTAACTGATATTCGGCGTTACTTTCAGCTACAGCCATGGTGAAGATCCTGCAGGCCTACAATTTCGCCAGCCAGCAGACGTACGCCTTGAACGGCGACATCCTGGCGGCAAGTTTGATTGGCAACAACCGGATTGCCATCAGCAGTGCCGAGCAGTTCATCGAGATCTACGACATAGCTGGCAAACCGAATCCCTTGGAGGACAACCAGGAGGAGGGGCAAACCGCTCCGGAGGCCTCGGGAGAGGCTACAGCCGGAGGGGGCGATGAACGAGCCCCGATCAGAAACACCTTGGCTACGGTGGGGGAGGTGGTTCAGTTGATCTACTGTGAGGCGGGTAAGGAACACACCGGAATCTACTGAATAGATTAATTCAAACGCTTAATCAACTAGGAAAGTACCTGCTCACCCTGGAGAAGGAACAGGCGGGCAGCCCCGTACACTCATCTTCCACCATCAGTTGCACCTCGAGCAGTAACACCAACACAGTATGCTCCGAGGATGACACCAAGATGTTCGTGCGCATCTACGCGAATTTCTGGAAGTTCCCGGATAGCCGGCTCAATGAGCTTCCCATCACCATCCGGATAGCCTCGATGACCACACCAAAAACCCCGCTGGCGGAGAGCATCGACGTGATCGAGCTGCCGCTGCGAAGTCCGCCTGAGTTGGTTCAGTGCTGTCAGACGTCGGGCAACATCATCGTCAGCAGTCGGGACAGGATCTACCTGTACGAGTACACGCAGTGCGTGCACGAGAATACCCAGCCGCGGTTTGCCTTCATCGACTTCCTGCCCTTTAAGTTTTTCGTGCAGCTTAACTTCGTGCCATTGCGCCTTTCTGTGGCGGAGAACGTCATCGCCTGCTTGAACCACAGGTACTGTGTTGCCTTCAAGGTGGTCGATGCCCTGGCAAACCGAGCTAGTGGAGGGCAGGACGTGAGCTGCCTGGACAACGACTACGGAGGCGGGGACGAGCCCCTCTCGGAGTCGCTTAGCTTGGGCAGCAAAGCCAGTGCCAGTGGTGCAGGAGGCGGGGTAAGCTCGAGCCACAGCCAGCAAAGCTGCGAGAGCGACTCTCTGCAGTCGACCAGCAGCGGAAAGGCGCCTGTGGTTCTAAACGGGGCCCTGCCGGGTCGGTCTCCGCTGGACTTCAATGTGGCCAAGCTGGTTAACAACGCCTATGGCAGAGAGTTCGAACCGGAGCTGCGCTCCCAATGGGACGAAGTGGATGGCAGTGGCAGCAGAGGGCAGGATGACAGTCAGGAGATCACCATCAGCCCCCAGCGGGCTGCAGATATAAAGATAAAGCTGGTCAACGAAGCCAAGGCCATGAATGTGCGAGGGATTGCCAGCGGGAGTCACCTGGAGGACGCCTCGGTGCAGTACGATATACGCAAGCTGCTGCAGATCTGCATGAAGACCTCAGAAGCCCAGCCCCGGGTTCTGGACATTTTTCGCTGCATGGACCTGAAGGCTATCTACCAGAGGAGCGGGCAAGGCGCGGATCTGGAGGACGACGAGTATGACATGGGGAACCAGCAAGTGCCCAGTGCGGTGACTACATTCAAGCACGTCAACCGCCGTACCCTCAAGTCGGCGCAGCACCAGCGATGTGTCGGACACGCTCTTCTTGTGGCCAGCAGTGTCGATGGCTACCTGTACCAGTTCTCGGCACAAGGAAAGTGGGGAAGCGAAAACGAGAAGCCCGTTGCCAGCTACAGCTTCACAGCGCCAGTAATACAGGTGCACCTGAACGACTACGTGGTGTTCGCGGTGACCTCCGAATCCGTTGAGACGCACACCTCGCGCATCGGACACAGGCTCTTTCACAACCGGTTTGAGTATCCCTCGCTCGGCGGCCTCTTCCCGGAGGAGTCCGCCCCGGACGTGAATTCGCCCATCGCGGTTGTGGGGCTGGCGGCCTTCATGCACGTCCAGTTCGTTTGTGTGAACCGGGAGCAGCTTGTGCTAATTACGAACGCAGCCCTGGAGCAGCACAAGCGGCGCAGCACCAGCGAGGGGTCCGGTGGCCAGGTGGTGGCTGTTAAGAAGAACATCGCCGCCCGACTCCTGGCCGAAGCCAAGGCCAAGCACAACAGCTTACTCAGGAGCAGCAGCGCCTCCCACTCGGCGACTGTGCCCAACGAGTGGACATTGTACAGTCTGGAGGTGCCCCGGGTGGAGTGCATCATTGAGGATCTCGAGGGCATCGCCGAGTCCTATCGTAGTGCCAGCAGCTCCAACTTCTATGATCTCATGGAGGAGGCGCACGTGATGCTACGGCTGAGCCTCACGCTCCAGGGTGAGCGGCTGGGCGTTGAGCGAGAGCAGCTCTTACGCAAAATGTTTTCTGCCAATTGCCGGAAGCTAGCAGATTTCTCCATACGGTACGTTACTCTATTTCATCTTTAATGTGACTATATGTATTGAGAGTCATAAAACTCTTACTTGCAGTTCCACCAAGCAGGAGGTCTACCTGCAGGCTACAGGTTTCTACAAAATGTGCCAGCTCCAGCTAGTTGACATTTACAACAATTACTTTGAGGAGATTGTGGGCGGTGGAGATGTAGAAGATTCTTCACAACTGGCGGGGCTAATCTACACGGTGAAGCTTTTCCTTCTCAGCCTGGGAACGGATCGCTCTCGATCCGCATTCCTGCACCAGACAGTTCGGGCCTGCTTCACGCCGGGCCGCGTGATTCCGCAGGGCTACCAGCAGGTTCCCATTTCGCTGGAGTTTCTCAACATGTTCATCAAGCATGCGCCGTCGGATATAGCTCAGATCATGCTTAGCTCGCCAGTTGTGGCGGACTCCATGAGCGGCGAGTTAATCAACTACCTGAAGTACTTGAACAAACTGTGAGTGAACAAATAGACTTGTTTGGTGTACCACATCTCACCTGTTTCCGATTTAAGGTCCCCCGACGAGAATCTGTTGCTGGCCGTGACTGCCTGCCGCATGTCCAACTATCTGCTGGCCCAGGAGACCGTGTCCAAGTCCACAAGGCGCAGCCTGGCTACTTCTTTGATCCGTCACAAGAACGTCCTGTTCGACGACAGCACTGTGATTTACCAGCGACGCCAGGCCCAAACTGCTGATTCGCAGGCGTCCAACTCTAGGGACAAGATCGGAAAGCTTCGTCGGGGAGCCGCCGCGGGAAAGAGTAAGCCATCGGGGAACAGCACGCCTACTCAAAGTGCCATAGTGTCCTTCTCGGACTTCTGCGAGACGATTCTGCTGACCAACGAGCAGCCAGCCCTGGTGGAGGCCATCAGCGATGTCTTCATTCACGCCCTCTGCATTGAGCACAGCCTGCAGCTGGACGTTGTGTTGCACCTTTTCCTCAACTATATCGCCTGTCACATTGGCCAGAAAGGCTACCAGACGTCGCAGAAGGTTCTGGTAACCGTGCTGCAGGCTTACTACTATGATCTCTTCGATGTGAGCTCCGCGCTGCAGCCGCACGAGACTCGGTCGCAAACTCCTCCGCAGCTGGATGACGACTACGACGACGAGTGCAGCAGTTCGCGGGCTCCGTCGCTGCACAGTGAAGCAGACGCCCAGTCGTTGTCCAGTTCGTGCGCCAGCTCGGCGCATGATGAGCGTTCGACGAGCGTCTCGGTTAGTGGCAGGCAGCAGCGCATTGTATACGACCAGCTGCAGGAACAGCAAGCGTCCCCCTTTCAGAAGCGCAGCTCAAACGCATCGCTCTCCCAGCCGCAACCAGACGACGATGCAGCAGCCACTAATCTCAAGGGCCTCAAGATTCTGTTTCGAATGTACATGGGCCGGCTAAAGGCCCTCAGTGATCTCATAACCGACCTGCAATCCGCGGATGTGGAGCAGCAGACGAGCCGCGAAGAGCTAATGAGTATGCGCATGGAGTGCATATCTTATATGGTGGGCATGGCACCCAACTATTGCCACAAACCGGTCAGCAAGAGTCCCAATGATCCCCTGGCCGGCAAGCTGATCTACGTACCCCTCATTCCCGACTACAAACTGCCGGAGGGCGAGGAATACGATCGCCATATCCAGAGTTACATTCGACCCGTTCCCTGTTTGCTGGAAAGGCCGCAGTACCTCAACCGCCTGCCCCCCTTCGAGCGCAGCGACTTCAGTTACCCCAACAAGGACGACGGCGAGTTCGAAGTGCGCTTCTTAAGTTGGCACAACGAGCTGCTGGCTCTCACCCTAAAGATCCAGAGCCTCCTTGCCTCCAGCAAGGTAGATCGGGAGATCGTGTCCGAGTTTCTGGCCTTCATCCAGAAGTCGCCGCATCTGATGGGGATTGACAGTTTCCTAGTGATTGTGTTGCCCAAGAACTTGGCTATCAACTATCTACTGAGTTTCTGTCCCGCTTATCTCTGGCAGTACGGCAAGGTAGGTGTTTTAAACGGATTCTTCACAGGATCAATGCTAATAAAGTTTCTGATTTCAGTCTTGCGGATTTACGCCCAAGCACTGGGAGAGCTTGTTGCGAAAGATTCTCAGTAAGCAGGAGGCGCTGCCCAATTGGAAGGCCCATCTTACAGGTTCGGAGAAACCCTTGTGTTTCATTTTAAAAGCTTAAATAACTTCTACCAACTTGCAGAGATTCTTAACAACCTGGTGGCGGAGCTAAGTTTTGAGGAGCTACTGCAGTGCTTCCCCAGCGAGGTGATTCAGAATCGGAACACGGCGCAATACTTTGCCAAGGAATTCGCCGAGACCTGTGTGCTCTACCAGCAAGAGGAGCTCGTCTTTATGACTCCGGAGCGGAAGGAGGGCTCCAGGGATCACATGCCGATGGACAACATAGACGAGGACAATGTGTTCGAGCTGACGCTGCGCAAGGCGGTGGCCAAGCAGCGGAGCATCGCCCTGAGGTCCATGATCGAGTCGACGGGCACCCAGCTGTTCGACGCCACCAGCAACCCCATGTACAACCTGTAAGCGGGCATGGGCGTGCATTCCACTTTAAACTAGTTTAAGGCATAATTATCACACTGCAAATCGATGAGATTGATTGATATTAACCTAGCGTCGTAGAGAGCACGGATATATTGTTTGCATCCCGTGTGTTCACCCTTTAGAGTGCACTATTTACGACATGTATTTGGTAGTTTAGGACACCCGTAACGAGGCATTATTTATTGGCAGTTCTGTGTGACTCAAACGCAACATTCGGATACTTAATCTAGGGAAGATTTATTGTGCGAGACGGGGAAAAACTCTCCAGGGGTTGGGTTGTAAAAATATCTCGCTGGGCGCGCTTTGATGCGGTATTGGCCATATTGAACCAGTTAAGCTGCGGAGAGTTTCAGGGGATCTTTCCACTCGAATTCGTATTCGTACGAGTCTCATTTTGTATTTTGTATTTACTTTGAACTAAGCTTTAGTACCCATAAAGTATGTATTCCTACGTAGCTCGCCTCTCTATTTACCCACACCCAGACACTGAGAACAACATGATCAAGTGATATTTTTAATTCTTGCATTGAATCTGAACAATAAAACATAACTATATTACAATGGGCGCTGTTTGTGATAAGGCGGCAGTTTATTCACCTGCCAGCCCAGTCTGTGCACTTCTCGAGCTCACTTCTGGAGGTTACTTAATACGGCAATTAAATCCCGGCTGCTGTGGGCGTGCTAAGGTAATTGAACGTGCGAAAAAGCGTCGGGTCTAGCCACCGGGGGGCAGATCGTAGCACCAGCCCCTGGCCGGGAATAGCTTTGCCAATTAAGAGCGACGAAATGAGTCTTCACGCGAGCTTATTCCAAGTCGGAGGCTGGGGCGCTGCTCATTCACGAGTCGGCACTTGGAGGCTTAGGAACCGAGCAGAATGCTGAAATTGCAACCCAAACTGGAGGTGGTTCAGGAGAAGCCAGAGTCCGTATCGGAGACCAAGGACAGCTCTCAAAGTGCCACCCAAGAGAGCCAGCTGGACACGATCATAGTCCAGATCGGGCAGTTCGGTCGCTTTCAGATCTCCAACTACCTGCTACTCTGCTTGCCAATCATCTGCAATGCCTTCTACTCAATCTCGTACTTCTTTACGGCGGGTCAAGTGCCGCACAGGTTGGTGATAAAATGCTTATCATAATAGACTCTTCTGATCGGAGAAGCTGTCACTCCACTTTTTCAGATGCAACATTACCCAGTGCGACAGCTTGGAGACCAGTTACGAAGAGCCCTTCCTCAACTTCACCACCCCGCATCGTCACGGAGCCTGGGATCAGTGCGAGCACTACGCCGTGATTCTTGACGGGGAATGGGGCAACGAGGCCGAGTGCAATGCCAGCTGGTTCGATGTGGGTCAGCGGGTCAGCTGCGAAGCGGGATTCAAGCTGCAAAGCGACGAGAGCACGATAGCCAGCGAGGTGAGCCGAGAAATCTTTCAATCAGTCTGGACAAAGCCACTAATTCGCACAAACACGAATTCCTTAGTTCGGCATCTTCTGCTCCGACCAGTGGAAGCTGTCCATGGTGGGCACTGTCAACAACATTGGTCAGTTTGTGGGCATACCCCTGGGGGGATTCCTCTCCGATCGGTATGTCTTAAAAGGAAATCAAGAATCCAAAATCTTGAGAATCTATTGTTTATTTTTAACTTTCGTGCAGATACGGTCGCAAGACCATATTAGTTTTGGCTGGAGTCCTGAGCAGCTTCGCCGGGTTGGCTCGTTCACATGCCCCGGATTACTACAGCTTCCTGGGGCTCGAGTTCCTGGACATGGCGGTGGGCAGTACACTTTTTCCCACTGCCTTTCTGCTGGCAGTGGAGCTGGTGGGACCCAAGCGGCGCGTGATAGCCGCCACCATGATCAGCCTGACCTACGGGCTGGCGGAGGCGGCATTGGGTTACCTGGCTAGCTACGTGCGCGACTGGCGAGTGCTACTGCGCGTCCTCTACGCACCAGCCCTGCTTCACCTGATCTTCATCTGCCTGCTGCCGGAGAGTGTGCGCTGGCTGCTCAGTCAGTCCATGGAGCAGGAAGCCACAGAAACTCTCAGGAGAGTGGCCAGGGTGAACCGGCGGTCCCTCTCGGAGCAGCAGCTTACCGACTTGGTCCGCTCCAACCGCCGGGTGGAAGCCCAGTCCTCCGCTCCCGGTGGACACTACACAGCCAGACAGATCGCCCAGGCCCTCGGGTGGCGCATCGCCCTGTGCTGCTTCGTGTGGTTCACCCACACCTTCATCTGTCTGGGCCTCAGCCTGAACTCCAGCGAACTGAGTGGGAGTAAGTTCGAAAACTTCAGCATCACGGGCCTTATGCAGCTGCCGGGCATCCTGATAGCCACCACCCTGATGCACCGAGTCGGTCGTCGGCGGGCACTCAGTTCCTCGCTGTTTAGCTGCGCGTCCCTACTTCTGGCGGCGGCAGCCACGGATGAAGGTGAGTAGGTACTGAAATCAAAGCATACCGTTAAAGGGCTCTAAATATATCATAAAAGGATGTCATACTATTCTTAGATTGAGTAAAGTTCAGGTTTTAGGGTGTCTATTTAAAGAAATTTATGACCATTTCAATGAATAATAGATTACCCAGTAGACTAAAAGTATTGTTCCCGGAAGTGGGTATGTTCATGATTAGCATTCATGATCAGCACCATCCGAACTGAATTAGCCAGGTTCAAATGTTGACCTTTTACAGCCCTACGCTGATAAAAAATGAGTTCTAACTATGTATATGAATCTAATAGATGACACTGTAGTCGAGCGAATTTTCTTATTTCGAGATTCTTATAGAATCCAGTCTTTATTATAAACTTTGTTATTGGTTCTTCTTTTGAATAAAGGAATTCTAAATTGAGAGATTTATAAGTTAGATTTGACTAGGACTATAATCTTATTTCAGTTAACCCCCAGTATCCCCTTTACAATTCTTCATCCCCTATTAGTTTATCCATTGACGTCCTCAGTACTGTACTTCCTGGCCAAGATGACCTCCACCGGCAGCTTTATGATTGTGTACTTCTTCACCTCAGAGATCTTCCCCACCAACTGCAGAAACAGCCTTCTGTCCTTCTGCTCCTCTGTGGGTCGCTTTGGATCTATGTTGGCTCCGCACACGCCGCTTCTTGTAAGAAGCCCTCCGATTTTTAACTATTTCTATTAACTATATATATAAATCATCTTGTAGATTGCCTACTATCAGTACGCCCCCCACTTAATCTTCGCCTTGTTTGGGTTCATCTGCTCCAGTCTGGTGTTGCTCTTCCCGGAGACTGCCAATAAAGTGCTTCCCACCACGTTGGAGGAGGCACGTGCCCTGGACAGAAGCATGCCGAGGGAAAAGGCTAGTAAGTCTGCCGTCTAATCGAACCTCAGTACGATCCTCAGTATCGGAAATCAGAGCTTTTCGACAATCAGTAAAATAATACAGCCGAGAAAAACGCCACTTGATGTAGCTGTCAAGTAATTGCATAAAGTATTAAATAACTTTGAAATCGAGTATTTCCATTAAAAAAGTAATTGTTCTCAAAGTGTATACTTATTTGAGCTGATTTTTGTTGCAGAGCGTGTTAAATCATCCACTCCTATCTGATTAATGTGCTACCAAGAGTCGAGATATTCCGAGATAGGAACTGATTTCGGACAAGGGTGCAATATCTTTATAAATCTGAAACGGGGCTTATCAGTGCCATGACTAGCGACATTTTATCGATTTACGACTCCCAGTGCCCGGGACCCGATGTCGTACATCTTCCAAGCGCTTTCAATTACAGCGCTATAATAATTCACTGAGCCCCCTACTAATTGTGGTCCGAATCGTATCATTGATTTATCAATCTGCCTCGGCAACCGAGCCGAACGGATTGTCAATCAGGCCCCGGACTTGTTTGTTCATTTTCATATTGGAGCATATCTACAGCACATGTATATTCCTCCCCGGTTAAGTCAAGTGTAAAGTGAAGCGCCGGAGGAAACCCAACCACCAAGGGCCCAAGGGCATGTGCCAAAGTCAATGACATCGGCAAATAGTGTAAGATAAGAACCGGAGCCCAGGTCGGGGCAACTTGTTGACCCACTCGAGCAATCAGCTAACAGGCGGCAACAGCTGTTTCGCATGTACATACATAGGTGGGTACATACATGAGCACCGCCCACCCACCCATTCAGACGCCAAGTCTCGCCGTCTGAAAGATAGCTAAACAAGTTCCCATATCAGTGTTCCATGCCCATTCGGAATTTGACGATATGCGGGGATTATGCCCGATGATGTATTAAATGCTTTTTAAAAGCCAACCCACCTAATCAAGTGCAAATAAGATTCGGGTTGTGGCTGATAAGGGCCGATAAGGTCTCGCGGGGAGTGGAAGGTTGGGGAAGGGGCAATGAAATCTAGCAGACAGATTAAAAATAGTAACTCACTGGTACGCCACCGAAAGAGGGCCAGAGAGAACGGAAACAGAGAGCCCGAACATATTGCCCCAACGAACCGGTACAATGTGGCGAACGAGCAGCGGAATCGGTCACTCAATAAGTGGCACTGCTCCAAGCAAGACGCTCCATAACGTCTATAAATAAAGATTCGGCCGGATCGAAACTCGGCGGATCGCGATCGCTGCCACTGGCGGGAAGTGCGGGGTACTGTGCGAGTTATAAAACACGCAGCCGCCAGCCACTAGAAAGTGCATTCTACCACGTGCCTTTTCGAATACTTTGTCTTCAAAATTGAATAATGACCAGCCAGAAGAGCGGAAACGGCACCGCTCCAGGCCAGGCCACGGGCAACGGCCATTTGGACGCAGAGGCAGCGGAAGGGCCTCCCCCCGCACACGGCGACGAGGACAACTCGCTGGACGCCATCCTGGTGAGGATCGGCCAGTTTGGGCGCTATCAGATCATCAACTATGTGCTGCTGTGCGTGCCCATGCTCTTCAACGCCTTCTTTTCGATCTCCTATGTTTTTACCGCGAGCACAGTGGTGCACAGGTAAGACAAAACATCTAACAAAAAAAACACATATTGGAAGTATAATTAAAAGTGACTTTTAAAGATCTACTAAGTGGATATTTCCTCGAATTTGTTTTAAATTAACACGCTAATGCGTTATCAACTGGAAAATTTCACACTGAATCATAAAAATATTTTATTTAGATTTCATGCAGAGGATTTCCTGTCCAATTCATACTTTGTGCTCGTAATCATTAATATATATTTATATGTATTTGAATTAATTATGTTCATATATACGGATCCATGTTGACGCAATGACATATGTCTTTGTTTATATTGTTATATTGTTTATATTGTAATATGTTAATTCAAAATATTTTTTTAGTACGCGTTAAGTAGACGAGCAGATAAATTATACTCCTTTCAATCTTTACAGATCACAACCATTTAATGGTTTAATCTAACTTCCTTAATCTAATCTCTAATGTAAATGGCAGAATAAGAATTATATTGTGAGATTTTCATTGCTTTTCAAAGATTTAAGTTTTTTATTCCAAGTTTACCGAGTGGATTCTTTACTCTTGTTCTAGTTTTCTTTGTCTCAGTCTTTAGTTTTCAAAAGGAAAGCCCTTTCAGCTTTTCAGCTATTTATATTTCCCTTTTCTTAGAATAGGTTTTTAAGATAGGGCTTCAAAAAAAAAAGAAGAAGTTTTGCCTATTAGCTTAAAGCCCCTATAACTCGTATCCCTTCTATATGTAGGTGCAATGTTCCTCAGTGCGATACGCCCAGTAGCTTATACGAAGAAAGCTGGTTGAATTTTTCGATTCCGTATAAGAACTCCGCGTGGGATAACTGTCATCGGTATGTGGCCAATGAATCGGATCCGTCCGTTGATTACTGCGAAGCTAAATACTTCTCCAATGACGTGGAAACCTGCGGAAAGGACTTTAAATTCAGGGATGAGGAGAAAACCATCTCAACCGAGGTACGTTTAAAAATTTTAACAGCTAAGATTAGACCAATTTTAAAAAGCCTGACAAACTTTAAACCAATTTGGAACCTTAAATGAATCTCTAATCCTTATTAATTTCCTTCTAATCTTAGTTTGGGATTTACTGCAACGATGAGTGGATGCTCACATTGGTAGGAACCATCAACAACGTGGGTCAGTTCGTTGGCATTCCCTTGGGAGGATTCTTTGCCGATCGGTAAGTCCATTCAAGATATAAGCCCAGTAATCCATTTTAACTTTGATTCTGATTTCCAGGTATGGGCGTCGAACCATGTTGGCCTATGCCGGCACCCTAAGCGCCTTCATGGGCGTCATCCGGTCGCTGTCCAACAACTACTACATGTTTCTGGTGTTCGAGTTCCTGGACATGGCGGTGGGCAGCACCCTGTTTCCAACCGCCTTCCTGCTGGCCATCGAGTTGGTGGGTCCCAAGCGCCGGGTGGCAGCAGCGACTATTATTACAATCGCTTACTCCCTTGGGGAGGCCTTTCTCGGGTTTCTGGCCTCGCAGGTGCAGGATTGGCGCTGGCTGCTCCGTGTCCTCTACGCGCCGGCCGTGCTGCAGGTTCTCTTCCTGTGGATCCTGCCGGAAAGCGTCCGCTGGCTGCTGAGTCAGGGCGCCGAGGAGAGGGCTGCCGACGTCCTGCGGCAGGCGGCACGCACCAACAAACGTCCGCTGCCTGAGGAGCAGGTGGAGGAGCTGCTTGCCGGCAATCGGGAGAAGCTAAGCCAGTCCAACGAGAGCCAATACCCCATCAGGAAGGCCGTGCGGTTCTTCGCCCTGCGGATCGCCAATTGCTGCCTTTGTTGGTTCACCCACACACTGATCGCCTTGGGACTGAGCCTTAATTCCGTCAACCTGGGAGGCAACAAGTACACCAACTTCATGCTGAATGGCGTCATTCAGGTGCCGGGCCTGCTTCTGCCCCTCATCATTATGGATCGAATCGGCAGACGGTACTCGCTTTGCGCCTCCATGCTGCTCTGCGCCATCTGCATGGGCGCCTCCGCAGGAGTGGGGGCAGATAACTACGCGGGAGCCTTGACCCTCTTCCTCATAGGAAAGCTGGCTATCACGTGCAGCTTCCAGATCCTGTACTTCTTTACCTCCGAGATATTTCCGACCAATGTTCGGAACAGCCTGTTGTCTTTTTGCTCCATGGTGGGTCGCATTGGTTCCATGCTGGCCCCACAGACTCCCCTGCTGGTAAGTACAGAATCTTTCTGTCCCACGGTCATATTCTAGTATCATTATTATCGTCCTTCCAGGCCAAGTATTACATCTACGCCCCACAGATCCTGTTTGCCACTTTCGCGCTTATCAGCGGCTTTTTAACCTTGGCCTTCCCGGAGACGGCGGACAAGGTGCTGCCCACCACTATGGAGGAGGCCCTCAACCTGGCCAACCATCGGCGACAGCCAGGCGTAGGGGAGGAGGAGGCGCCGGAAGCGGAAGCGTCACGGAGAGAGGATAAAAGTAAAAGAGATTACCTTTCATAGAGGCTAAGGAAACTGAGTTGGGCATAGTGAAGGCTGATGCATTTGTTGTTGATTTTTAATTTGTTTTATTTAATTAAGATAGTCCAAGTTTCGTCGTGTGCACAATATTCGTGATATTTATATGCCAGGCTGCCTTTTTGCTCTACTAATTTATAACATTTATTTTCGAGACACGTGCTACCTTTTTAAATATAAACTATTAATTTACTTAGATTTTTAAGTTGCAAATCCAGAATTGTAAAACAATGTCGGAAAGATGTCCGGCCAAAGAAACTTCAGTGTTTACAATTTAAAACTTTAAATTACACGGCTGAATGGGAATTACGAGTACGTTTTCGGGAGTTGAGCCCCTATTATTGTCCCTAGGTGTCCCTAGACGCAAAAAATGACGATGCCCCCACTCCTAATCTGCAGATGGATACAACGATGGTAATGAGGTAGCTGAGTTCTTATGGAAATGATGGGTTATTTTCCGCGTCGCTCAATGTGATAAAAACCAGGATCAAACCAGGATGATGCTTACATATATGGATATTTTTGCTTTTTTTGTTATTAATAGGGTTAAAAATATAACGAAATTTAAAAAATAGAAGTTTAAATTAAAGCTCCATCAATTTTATATAATTTATTTATTTACATTTTTTATAAGAAAATGATTTTCAAATTTCGACTGTTTACCGCAACAAGTCCGTAGATTTAAATTTAAAAATTTCTTGCCTTTCAATTTTGAAATATACATTTGACATTTCAATGTTTTAGGTTTTTACATACCAAAATAGTTTTTCCAGCCATCGCATGGGGGCGCCACATCTTTGTCCAATATGAAGTCATGTGATTTTAACCAAAAGCATTTAATTTTTTCGGGGGTTTTTAAGTGAAAATAATATTAATAATACCAACTAAAAATAAATTTAGTTTTTCCATAAATTACTTTATAGACTATACTATCGATTACTATATAGATTTTTTTATTTTTTTTTTCAAGCAATTTTTTGGTTAAAACTTGAGGTATTCATATCGTTACGGCGTTAAAGGATAAATTAATTGTAATTTTTAAAATATTTATTTATTTAAACAACAATCTAGAACATCTATATTATAGAATCATGGAAAAAATGTGCACCTTAAGGACGTAAATAGAGTTATGTTTTCAAAAAACGGAATATTAAAAATTTGAAAATACCCCCTGTACTCTGTGTATACACCTATGCCTATTGATTATCCAACAATAAAATTTTGACTTTATTATCAATAAAACTTAATATTACCGCAAGTCATTTTTAAATTTTACAAAATTTTTGTCATTGCCGCATTTGCCCATATTTCTTTATCCTATTAGAATGGAATAAACTACTGAAATTCGGCGAGTGCAAGAAAATCAAAAAAAACACAGTCACGTAAGAATAGTTTTTAATGTGTACCTTTCTATAGTTGTATTCCTTTTTTGAATCGCAAAAAGAAAGATATCAGATATTTTGGTGTTGGCTTGCTGTTTTATCACCGTTATTTCACCTCGTCAAGAGGTTTTTTATTTGATTATACAGTACAGGTCTAATTTTCTAATTTTAACCAGCACCCTAATCTCCGAGAATAGCTTATTATCTGATCTTCTAAAGGTCAAACTAAAGGTGAAAACCAAGACTTTTCAACTTATCTTTGGAAACCTCGATTTTTCCCCTTAAGTGGAAGGAATCTTTCATAATTCCCTTGCATATAAAAGGGAAAAAGTCCGATGCCGCCAATTACAAATTGGCAATTCCAAAGTTATTTGAAAAATTAGTTACTCCTCATTTGCAAAACCTTTGCTCTTCGATCATCTCTCCTTGTCAGCATGGCTTTATTAAACGTCGCTCCACCACGACGAACTTATTGGAGTTGACATCTTTTGTCATAGATGGCTTTCGTAAGGGATATCAAACCGATGTAATTTACACAGACTTTAGCAAACCATTTGATTCAGTAAATCACTCACTCTTGCTTAGTAAACTGAATATGCTGGGATTTTCTACAGACCTCTTAACGTGGATCTCCAGCTACTTAGATGGAAGGACACAAAGAGTCTTATTTAAAAACATACATTCCCGTCTGGTCCGTGCTACATCTGGAGTACCTCAAGGAAGTCATCTTGGCCCGTTGTTATTTACTTTTTTTATAAATAACTTGCCCCCTTCTTTAACGAACTCTCTAGTTCTTATAAAAGAAGATGATGTAAAGCTTTGTCTTCAGTACAAATCCATCTCTGCCCAATGCAGTCTTCAGTCTGATTTAATACTTAATGGATAAAAATGCAAGCTTATGTCTCTTTATCGTCCTTGCCATCTGCAGGCTACGTATACTTTTTATGGGATTGCCTTAGAGAAACTAGCTCAGGTTAATGATCTCAGCGTCCATTAGACATTAAACTTAAATTTGCCGAACATATTTCCTTAATGGTTAATAAGGCTAAAGGAGTCCTTGGTTTTATTAAAAGGTGGTCAAAAGAATTGAATGACCCCTATATAACCAAAACATTACGGTTCATGTGTCTGGAGTCCCCAATATGGAGTATATCAGGACCGCATAGAATCCGTAAAAAAGAATTTCTTAATTTTTTCTCTTAGAGGTCTAAACTGGGATGCAAATCTTCACCTTCCATCTAATAATAGTAGACTCTTACTAATAAACTTAACTAGCTTAACAAATCGTAGGAAAATGCTCGGTGTAGTTTTTCTGCATAACCTAATTAATGGGGACGCTTAAATTTTAACATTCCTAATAGAAGGACTAGAAACTTTAGTCCTCTATTCCTTACCCATTGTAGTTCGAGATATGCACAGCACGACCCTTTTAGGGTCTTATGTTCGAACTACAATGGTCTACTCTATAAAATCTCTCTCCTGCCCTTCAAATTTAAAGTATAGAATTTTAAATTTCCTTACTAACTCCTCCTAGCTTTATAATTTAAAACTAGCTTAATATTTACTAATTATTCGTTTCTCGAGCGCCCCTCGGTCGTCTGGGCCTCTAAGCTTTATGATGAATATGCTAGCGGATGCTCTTATTGATGCACAAGCCATTTCCAATTCTGAAGGACCGCGAAAAAAAAAAAAAACTCGAAGCTCATTTACATATCTCATGAACTACGAGACGTTTCAAAACGATTCGAGATATTTAGTTTTACTTTTCAATTTATATTTATTTTCAAAGATTATGTACATTTAATACTTGTATTTAAAGACAATTAGAAGTAAAAGTAACGTCGCAGCTTATTTCAACGATTTTGCTTATCATACTTTGCAAATAAATTATATATAAAAATTCAACAAAATTCATATTTGGTGTATAAGGGGGGTCCCCTTTATTTCCAATGAACATTTTAAGTCGTTTTGGGATTCAATCCACCAATTTTTTGGTAACATCTTGGGTTATTTTACCCTCTTATGCGTTCATCCTCTTAAGCGTCCTTCAGTTCGGCTTAATTTCTAATCTGGCGTTTTCTGACTTTTTGGTTCAAAATTGTTCCATAGGTTTTCTATTACATTCATATCTGGCGATTAGGCGGGCGGTTCCATGATATGGGGGCAATTCCATATGAGCCAGGACTTATTTTTTGGGTCATTGACTTGATTGAATCGCAATTGATCATTTGGACTCATTTTCGTTCAAACTCAGGTGTTCCTTCGAAAGGCATGATTTCAATCATGCAGTTTGATTTTTGGCTATAATGAAAGGCTTTTTTTGGTGCAATTCGCCCATTGGTTGTGCAGAACTCTTCGATGGTGCCAGGGTGCCACTATATGGTCCGTTACATCAAAAATTTTGTTCTGAGCTTTTCGTCCTTTGTGCGTTCTAATTCCAGGGCAAAATGGTAAATATTGAGATGCATTGTAGAGGGAAACCAGTTTCCCAATTTTTCGGCGAGTCTCTTTTGACATGGGGAAGAACATCTAATGGCGGAGGAATTGACCATAAAAAATGATATGGTATTTATACCCGTACTCGTAGAGTACAAGGGTATATTGTAGTCGTGTGAAGGTTACATATATACCTTATACATATACATACCCTATACATACCATATATACTGGATCAGCATCAACAGCCGAATCGATATAGAATCGATCCATGTCCGTCTGTCCGCCCGTCCGTATAGACGCGTGGATCTCAGAGATCAATGAGATAGAGCTATAGAAATTGCCATGGAGACTCCTAAAATACCCATGCATTTTTAGTTCGAAAAATGTTCGAAAACAAATCGAAAATTTTTGTAGTGCCGGTTCAGGAAGGTTTTTCGAAAAACTTTCCTATAGTTCTATAGTTAATATAGTTAATTTCACCCAAGTCGGCCGATTTTTGGATACCAACGGGCTAAAATTTTAAACGCGTGGATTTCGAAGGCTATAAAAGATAGAACTATCAGAGTTATAACTTGGAATCGGATGATATCCGCGCAGATCAATTTAGTGATCAGCAAGATCAGAAAGATCAGCAATCGATGTTAGCACCAGTTTGTTAATGTTTTTGGGAAATGTTTTAGTGCTCAAACTGTTCCAATGGCTTAACTACACCTACAAATCAAAAAGCATCCAAATCGAATAATTTTTAGAGGAGTTATAGACTATTTAGTCTGCTTCCTCACTGAATCGGTAGAATGGCCGTAGGTTTGTTGTTATTGTTTTGCCATAGCTGTTGTTATTGTTTTTGCGGAGAATACATTACTGTTAAAGTTAAAACTTTTAAGTCTAGTAAAATTGTGGTTGGAAGAGATGAATACCGGGTATAATATAGTCGGGAAACTCGACTATAGCCGCCCTTTCTTGTTTTGAAGATAGAAGGTTATGTCAACTAGTTATACAAGTATGTCTTACTTAAAAAATTAGTTATATGTTTTACCAATAAAAATGGTGAGCTTTCATTACTTTTTTCTTGTTTTGTTTGTATGTATGTATTTTATTAAAGGTACTTGACATCTTTTTCAGAAACAGACTTCCGTGCGACACAAAGAAACACTTGAATCGCTGAGGTATTGATGTGCAAACCGCACCTTTCCTGTACTTCGCCTAGGTGATTTGAAACCTATTCTTTTTAGTAAAGAACTCTCTTTTCTGCGATTGGTCGTGTCTATTTTTCATAAATGGCAATTGCTTCGCCAATGATTTGATTTGATGGTAATGGTAATTGTAATGGTAATTACTGTTATTATATTCAATAGAGGTCGGTTTCATATAAAGGTGGGCGGGTTGCTCATACCTCTCAGCGATGATATCGCCCCGAAGAACCACCTTATCTACGATCTATCGATCGGACGATTGTCGGAGAGTCGAGTGCCAATCAGTTCCCATTCAGTTCCCGAAGAGACAACATGAGTGGTGACTATGAGACCGGAGATTACTATATCCGCCATCGGTGTGTTTGGGCCTAATCCGACCGGTGACGTTTTCGATAACCAATGCACTTCCGTCTCTGTTCCAGGAAGCTTCTCGATCAGCCGGCGTTATGGGATTCCTTCCAGGACCCGCCCTCCAAAAGGGCAAGTGGCTCGGATGCCGACTGGAAGAAGTTGCAGTTTTTCCTGAAACTGTTCAAGCTATTCGTCTACCTCCTGGTCTTTGCGGTTATTCTGGCAACAAGTGTGGCGGCTAACCTGGTTTATCTCTACATGGTTGGAAATACGAGCGGAAGCGGGCCGCGGGTGCAGGTTTGCACCAAGTATCGTGAGTCAATGTCAAGTCAATATTGGATTAGTGATTAGCCATTGGGAGTGTTCCTCCTTTGTCTTTAAAGTTCTCCTGACCGGAGAGGTGATTGCCGCCCGGAACCGTTTGGATCAAATAGCCTGGGTCTGGGCCCTGGTCTTTGCCTTCGCCGCCCCCGAGCTCTTTACCTTTCTACGAGCCCTTCGGATCTGTATGTTCAAGCGGGAGCGCCGTCCCACCCAGCGGGAGGTCGCACTGGTGAGTAATATCCAATCTATTGTCGACGGAGAAATTTTCATCAAACATCACGTTAGATGTTACCCATTCACTTAATTGTTGTTTAGGCAGATAGCTCTTCAAGTGATCTATGTTGTCAATTAGGCTCGTAACAACCAAATGAGTTAAATTTATTAAAAAAAGGAATGAAGAATAATCTTACCATCCTTTTTTTATAAGAACTCCTAATAAAATATATTCTGGAATTCGTTTTTAAGCAGAAAGAAAACTCTCTGCAGGTTAAAAATGTGAGGTTTTTTTATATATTGCGTTTTTGTCATTGAAAAGAAAGCTTTCGTTTATCGCTTTTTTTTATTTATTTTAAATTATTTATCAAGTTATATACAACGAAAAAATAGATTAAATTGATGGGCAAACGATTAGAATTTTACTTTCAGAAATTTTCTGAAGGTTCTTTAGACATGTTTAGTAAAATATACAAGATATTGAGTAAATTTAAAGAGTAAATAGGCAATGACAAATGCCTTAACCTTAAAGTGTTAGAAGGTTTGGACTTTCAATGGATTACAAAACAAAATCCTTATTTTTGGTTGATTTATGTTATGGAAAAACATGTCTTTGGTTCATAATAATTTACACCTAGTTACTTTGTGTTGTGATAAGTTTCCTTATGCGACAAATGAGGTAGCTTTGGCTTCCAGGAATCCGCGAACGGAGACTAACTAATCCAGAAATAGATTGATTGATAAGTCCCGCTAATCAGGTCACGCTCTTCGAACTCCTGCACGTCGTTGGACTGGCACTGCTCACCTTTACCGTGCTCCCTGCCCTGGATGTGACGCGGGGAGCAATGTTGGGCTGCTGTGTCTGCTTCGTGCCCGCCCTGCTCAGTGAGTAACAACACCCACAAGTACACCAGCACTTCTGACAGCTGAGACGACACCCCCTCCACTTGGAACTGTTATCGGTGTCTGGGAGTCGATTGACAACAATTTAATTGATTGCCCCTTTGTTTGGCGTTTCAGATTTGCTGACGGGGATGCGGCTACGCTGGATTTCGGGCAACAACCTGGTATTGATCCTCTCCATCCTTGCCCTGATTGTCCAGGGAAGTGTCTTCCTGGTGTGGCCCGCGCTGAGCGACAAGCTTGAGGTGAAGCTGCTGGTCCTGCCGCTGGTGCTCGTATCGTTCCGCTGGTGGGAGAACTTCGCCAACCCGCACGAGGCCATCGGTAAGTGTGTGGCTCCATTAACTGCAACAAAAAATAAACAATTGGGCACTTCACATTTCTTAAACAATAAACCTGTTCAAGCACTTGTTCTATAAATGCCAGCAAAGTAAAGAAAAATATTTAATTATGACTATGAACTCAGGGCTTTTTTTTATCAATCTGTTGATATTTTTATCAATCAATACTTTTTCTTGTTTAGTTTCGAATCTTTTGTTTTTTCTAAAAATTAATAGATAAATTAAATAAAGATGACAAAGATAAAATATAAACAACTGCCTTTGTTAATCATATCTTATCTGCCAGCTAATCATATCTTAGCTTACCCGTGATGCATTATTTGCCTGAGGTTGAGTCTGTCAGATAGTGTATTGACAAAGTCACGTAATTTAAATGATTTTGTTGAAGCTTGAAGTTTCTTTGATGTTTCGTATGTAGTTTGTGATGTCTTTTTTCACTGCATTTTCCAGCCAACATCATCCGCACCATCCGCTGCACGCGATCCCGCTACCACACCTACCTCTACCTGGCACCCCTGAAGGTGGTGGTTTTTGCAGGCGTGGGCTTTCTGCTGCATGGTCAGGACTTCTTTTCGTACTTTTCCCTGTTTTTGGATGCCTGGAGGCCCCACTTCATTACCCTAGTGGTAGGCTCATCTCAAATCAATGTGTACTCGAAAAAATAGAGTTTTCTTTAGTAGTTTAGAGTAAAAGGATAAGCTGGCTGTATCCTATCTGATATATTAAAGATCTCGAAAATGATTGATTTTTATATTTTAATCTCTTATTATATGTATCTCTTCCCTGTTATTGAACACTTTTCTTGCTGTGTTTTTGCAGCAAACCAACGGCGGGAATTCCAGTGCACTCAACTCAACCCATCAGGCCAACTCATCAGTCAGGAGTTCAATGCAATCTAACCCAAATGCCATGGTCTATGCGTTGGCGGCCCAGGTGGGGGCGGCGTACCTCTGCCACGTGTTCGGCAAGTTCGCCTGCAAAATCAAGATCCAGGTGTTCAGCTGTGCCCTGCCTCTCACCCTGGCTGGACCCGTTACCGTCTGCCTGGCCACCTTTCTGGCCCAGCTGAGGGCCTCGGACTCTTGTGCCTTGCACGGTCTCCTGCCGGACTACCTCGGGCTGAGGGCGCTAGGCGGGAATCTGGAAGAACTGGGCCATGCGTGCCTGGAGTGGGCTCTGTGGCTGTGGCCACTGTGGTGGCTGGCCCAGGTGTGGACCTGCCTGCACATCTGGCAGCCGCGCAACGACAAGAACGCCCCCACCGAGAAGCTCTATGTGTGCCCCTGGTACTGCGGCCTACTGGTGGACCAGTGCTCGATGATGAACCGCCGCATTGTCGACTGGAGCGAGGAGTATCTGGCCATCAAGGTGAGCGTGATAATGAATTATTGTAATCAGGCGCCTGCCTGGCATCAATCATCCCACCGACTTTCTTCCTTTCGCCAATCCCCCGAATCACCCCGCCTTCATTCATCTATTTCGAGGACTTTTCGACTATTCCGGAGCTGCTCACACTACTGATGTGCACTTCAAATGTCAGGCAATGTAATTAAGTTAAATGACGGGGAAACTGCAAAGTTCAGGAAATGTTTGCGTTTCCCATTCCCATTTGCGTGGAGGCCAAAGGGACATAGGGTGGATGGATGGGATGCTAGGGTTTTCGGTGGGTGTAAACTTAATTAAAAGTGCTTCAGCTCTACTCGCATGTTTTTGGGGCCTACGCGCCATAAAGACATTAAAGTAATTAAAATCAGGGCATATGAGTTGATTTTAAAGGCATAAATTAGGGCTTGGCGAATTATGTGCATTCGTAATGTGTCCATGTCATTAGGAAGGAAGGCACACTTAGTTAGTAATTCCAAGTCCTGAAATGAGGTACTCCTACAAAAAAGTGTTCTTTAAATGCATAATGAGTTAAATGAATGACAAAATATTTAAAGGGGCAATATATAAAGAGAAGAGTACCGGGTATGGTACTTTCCCTTTTATTTTTTAATAACTTTAGGATAGTATGCTTATAACCGTTAAGAGTACAAACATGTCTACTATGAAGCATTCCAAATTATGAGGTTAGCAAAGGGCACAAAAGTTCCGCGAAATGTAAATTAGAGGTTCACTTGGGAACATTACATCTCCCCAACTTTTAATAATATTTGAAATGTACATATCATAAGTGATGAAGAATATTAAATAGGCCCCAATTTAAACTAAATGTCACAGAATATTTTATTTATTACAACTCCATGCCGTGGAGATAGAAACGGAATCCCCCATCATCCAAGCATTCCTCGCAAGTACTGCATTTCATTTTCCGCACAACACTTGATATCCACTGCAATTATTCGGAGCTTAAACTAAACCCAGTTGCATCCCTTCTGTTTCAATCTTTTCCACTCGACAGAGCGAGCCCCCCGCCCCGATCGACCCCAAGCCGGCTCAGACGGAACGCATCACGGCCAACTCGGAAGTCCGGGAGGAGGACAAGGTGCCACAGTTGATTGTGTGCGCCACCATGTGGCACGAGACCGAGGACGAGATGATGGAGTTTCTCAAGTCGATTTTGCGCCTGGATGAGGATCAATGTGCCCGCCGCCTGGCGAAGGAATATCTCAAGGCGGAAGACGAGTACTATGAATTGGAAAGTATGTAAATGGGCCAAAATACTTGGATGCAAATGCGGATGTGGCTGCAGTTTCAGTTTCAGTCGCCGTGTTTGCCGCTGTCGTCCGCAGTACTCAGTAGCTCCGCATTTGCATTGCACATATAAAATGTGTCAAAGTGGAAATTTATGCAGGCCCGAGATGCTGTTTCCAGCTCTATTTATAACTTTTGGCGACTTCATTTCCGCGCTTGCCAAAATGGCACTAAGCCAAGCATTGGCAACTGCCTGCGACAGCTTTACGATCTCACTAATTCCTCCCCCGCTCATGCATACGAGCAGATAATGCTGCGAAGCGACTATAAGATACCCAGTGCTTGACTGATACTTAGTTTCCAGCAGAACTAAAAATGCAGAATTTATTTCATTTCAATTATGTTAAACCATATTATTTCTAATAGCTTCTTTAACAAATTTATTTATGGCAAAGTCAAGACTCATTACTAATTTAATTAATGTTTTGAAGTTATTTTTATACCCTGTACTTATAGAGTACAAGAAGTTCTTCCCTATTTTTATTCTTTTAGTGAATGTCTATTCTAGGATATGGTTTTACAGGCTAATCGCTGTTCGGATTTTTTTTTTGATACCCTTACAACTTTCTTTCCACAGCTAATATCTTCTTCGACGATGCCTTTATACTAGACCCTCAAAAATGTGAAAACAAGCGTAATCCCCCGATGAACGACTATGTGAAGACCCTCATCAACACCATAGACAAGGCGGCCTTTGAGGTGTATGGCGTAAACATAAGGATTAAACCTCCTCTGAAGATTGATACACCGTACGGTGGTCGGTTGGTTTGGACTCTTCCGGGCCGCACCAAGATGGTGGCCCACCTGAAAAACAAGGACCAAATTCGACACAAGAAGCGCTGGTCTCAGGTGATGTACATGTACTATTTGCTTGGTTATCGGATCATGGATACGGTGCATCTGCATCCGCGTCGGAAGGTGGTGATTGCAGAGAACACGTTTATCCTGGCACTGGACGGAGATATCGACTTCCAGCCCAGGGCCGTCCACTTGCTGATCGACCGGATGAAGGCGGTGGAGGAACTGGGAGCCGCCTGCGGGCGGATCCACCCAGTGGGGAGGGGACCGATGGTGTGGTACCAGCGGTTCGAGTACGCCATCGGCCACTGGCTGCAGAAGGCCACGGAGCACGTCATCGGCTGCGTGCTCTGCAGCCCCGGGTGCTTCAGCTTGTTCCGTGCCAGCGCCCTCATGGAAAACAGCGTCATGAAGCGCTACACGATGATCAGTTCGGAGGCCATGAAAATGGTGCAGTACGATCAGGGCGAGGACCGCTGGCTTTGCACCCTGCTGCTGAAGGCGGGCTCCCGGGTGGAGTACTGCGCCGCCTCGGATGCCTACACCCACGCTCCGGAGAGTTTCAACGAGTTCTACAACCAGCGACGCCGTTGGGTGCCCTCCACCATTGCCAACATCTTCGACATCCTCGCCGATGCCAAAACGGTCGTACAGAAGAACAACTCCATCTCCACGATGTATGTGTGGTACCAGGGCATGCTGATGATCGGAACGGTCCTGGGCCCGGGCACCATTTTCCTTATGATGGTGGGCGCCCTAGTGGCCGTATTCACCATCAACATCTGGACCGCATTTCTGTGGAACTTCTTTCCCCTACTACTCTTCATTTTGTCATGCGTCTACCTAAAGCAGAAGTACCAGCTGCTTATAGCGTTCGTGATCAGTTCCATCTACTGTCTGGTGATGATGGCGGTCCTCATTGGTATCATTGTCCAGATGCTGGAGGATGGTCCATTGGCACCAGCGTCGCTCTTCTTCCTTTTGGTGGCTGTGCAGATAACAATTGCAGGTAAGGAGTGGTGCATTTTGAAATGGGTCGGTTAAATTTTAAACCTACTGTTACACTATTTTAGGCTTTATGCATCCTCAGGAGTTCTGGGCCCTTCTCTGCGGCGTCATCTACTACATCACCATTCCCTCCATGTATATGTTGCTGATGATTTACTCGGTCTTCAACATGAACGACGTTTCCTGGGGCACCCGCGAAGCACCCACAATAAAGGACGACGGCCAGGAGACGTCCAATGGAGCTAAAAACTATCCACATGGTTGGCTGAATGATCCACTGCTTGTAAATTCAGAGCTGGGGGAAATACCGATAAAGGAGAACAAATTCTGGAAGGATGTGATTAAGGAGTACCTGAAGCCTCTGGAGCTAAGTCGGGAGCAAAAACAGCTGATGGACGATGGTCTGAAGGAGCTGAGAAACATGATTGCCTTCGCCTTCGTGATGGTGAACGCGATTTTCGTCCTAATTGTGTTCCTACTGCAGTTGAAGAAGGAGTTCCTACACTTGAACTGGCCCATTGATCCGAGGGATTTTATTACTTTTAACAGGGAGAACCTTCAGCTGGACATTTACCGAGAGTATAAGGAGCTGGACCCCATCGGACTCTGCTTCGTGATATTCTTTGGCCTGATCCTCATCATTCAGTTCATAGCCATGTTCTTCCACCGCTTTGCAACGTTGTGTCAGCTGCTGGCTACCACCCACGTAGACTGGTTCCGGTCTAATGGACAGTTCACGGACGAGGACGCCGCCCACGAGTTGAAGGGCAGTGCTGTGAATATAGTTCGCAGGCTGCAACGTCCCAAGAGACTCTTCGAAGAGGATGACGAGGATGAGCCCCACTACGACGAGGTGTTGCCGAATGGGAGGGAGGGATCTGGGGAGTATCGGGATGGCTCACATCGCCGCCAAACTATTTGCCGACTCACCGAGAACCCCAATAGGTCCCAGAGCGACAACAGCGACTTGGTCTTAAACTTTAAGCGTCGCTTTTTGGGCGAAGATGATCTGACTTTGAAGAACGTGCTTCTGAATCGAAAGTCGCAGATGCTCTTCCAGCAGCGCCGATCCAAGGCAAAGGCGGCGGCCACGCCGGGAGGAACTCCCACGCCCATGGCGGGAACTCGCCCGCCGATGTTAGAGAGCCCGGAGAAGAGAAGATGTAGGATCTTTTGCTGTTGCCCATTTTCTAAACCCAATGGCTTCGAATCCTACGACAATGATGGCTATGAGGAAACCGGTTTTTAGTCCGGGAGCGTCCCTTTTCCTCCAAGTATTACCAAGAGAATCTGCAGCGTATCCAACTCCTTATCTTAGAGCTATTCCATATCATATTCCCAGAGACCGGAGGTGGTCTGAGATGCTGACCTACTTATATATATATATGTACATCTTTATGCCATTGTATAATCGAATCCTTTGGAAGGACCTTGATGGCGTAAAAAATATAATTAATTGCATTTAATTCAAGTGGCAGAGGCAGCCAAGTTTACTTCCCTTCTAACTGAAGACATCTCATTAGCATAATTACCAGATGCGGGCGTGGCAGTGGGCGGGAGGAAGTGGGTGGTTGGGTGGTGCCTCCTTCATTCATCAATGTCGAGGCAACGCTTAGAGTTAAGTGCTGCTCGTGGTGGCGATGCGCTTTTTGCCCGGCAAAGTTCTCGCTCCGCTTCGCTACAAAATGCAAATCAAAGTGTGATTAGCTTGGATTTGATGAAGTTTCTGCAGCAATGCACAAGTTTGCTGCCGCTCCTGCCGCCCCTGACGGTGCGTGGGCGTGGCAAGGTGTCGGCGTAAGTGTTTTGTAAGTGAATTTTTCACTGCCTGGGCAAAAAGTAGTGAGCCAAGTGACACGGGTGGACAGAAACGGGAGCGGCGGCAGGATGAGGACACCAAGGACTGGCAGGACCTACATTGGCAGAGCGCATACATTAGGAGTTGCTCGGGGAGCGGGAGGGGGAATGAGCAGCCAGGACGAACTTGTGGCCGCAGGATGTGGATTGTCTTTAGTTTGTAAAGTGCTGAGGCAGAAGATTAAAGGGAGCGACGAGAGCTCAGTATGTAAGAACACGGCTAAGTAATGAATTGGGTGGCCAAAAAATAAAGGAACCAGAGAGTATCGACTCGATGGGTGGTTAGTTTGGGGTTTGGCGAGACGGAACTTTACGAAACTCATATTATTCAAAGTTAAGGTGTAAAGAAGAAGATTGGCTTTACCAATCAATGGGAAAACCCTTATATGCACAGCCCGAAAGTGCATTAAGGCAGATGATGCCATAACAAAAACTAAAAACAATTTCAGAGCCCAGTGGGTTCTTGCCTTTGCACCCCATTCGATTACTTTCGGGAGGAATACTTGGTCACTTTCCGGGCAGTGGCCTACTTGGCGAGTGCGTGGCACTCCTAGCTGCCTTGGAGGCATATAAATTTCGCATTTGCATTTCGCTTCTTGCAACCTGCTGACTTGGATTGCGACCACCATTCGAACAAAACAATGTGAAACGGAAACTGGCAAAATCCAGCCATAAACAAGAACAGAATTCAATTGAAAAACTTGTGCCGGGTTGTGCACTTATCTGACCCGGACAGTCCCGCCCAAACTAGACCGATACCGAACCATACCCACCCTGGCCAGTAACCCGCCTCTCCAAAGGCCTGTTGCCATTTGGTATTGTATTTTATGGCTTTTCTATGCATTGCCATCCAGGACATTGCGCCAAAGGATGAGCAGCTGCGGGACAAAATGGCCTGAAACTGGAACTGAAAGCTGCAAACTGCAACAAAGCGGCAACAAAACTTTTTAATGTCATTTAATTATGAAAATAATTCAGTGTCCTGGTGTCGGTCCTGCTTTTTGTCATGGCTTGTTTTTGCCAGTTGCCAGGATCCATGCCGGATATGTTCAACTCATCGAGCCCCCCCTGTAAAGTTTTCCGTTTACAGGTCATTCCCGAGTCTTCACCCCGCTCAATTTTTGCTGCTTTGTGAAAATAATTAAATGAAAGCTGCAGGATATTGGATGACAATATGCGCTGATTATGCAGCCGTCGGAATTCTCAGTGTGTCACCGGGCGCAAGAAGCCAGGGGCAAGGACAGGGGGTTTGAAAGCCCATTCAAATAAACAAGTTGGAATTTTCAGCAGTTAATTAATTTTTGCAACTGCTGTTATTTATGATTATTTTTACGCCACTCCAGCCAAGAGCGGTACCATTGCCGTAGCCAACGGTGTTTGAAAAGTGATTCTTCCTGGAAAATATTGCATTTTCGAACTCATTGAAGTGCCAGGTACTTTGAATTGGAGGACTTTCGATGATTGATTGCATCGAGGGAACCTAATGACGATTGTTATTTGGTGGCATTAAATATAAGTTCTGATGTAAAGACACTTAGTAATTTAAAACAGGAAAATAACATTCTTTTTCAAATATAATTAAGTTTGATTATTTATTTTATTAATTAATTTTGATATTTTATTAATTGTTGATTGAGGAGAAGCTATAGCTACCTAAGTGTGTCTTATAAGAAGGTCATGTATCTTAATTATTCTATATGGTAATAATTATTCTTAATTATTCTAATATATATGGTAATAAATAGTATATTTGTATGTATTTATAAACCTCATACATTTAATAGAATTTTAACATACTCTAGAATTTTGTTTATCTTTTACATACGTAGTAGATTTAAATAAGGTATATTATGTTAACCATTTAATTATATAGTTATTACCCAAATAATTAATAGTGTTTAAACTTTAAAGTTAACAGTTTATTTAGAAACGAGTCTAGAAAAGTCATATGTATGGAAAGATTGACACTCGGAATTTGTGCAAATACTTGTCACTTGATTGCCTTTGATATACTTCTTTGTGATATGATATTTTGTAGTTAAGGGCTGTCCTATCTATTACGTAATCGCAGTTCTGTTGATTGAAGAATATAACCAATTTGACCAGAATTAATAAATAAAGGAATCACTCATGACATTTATTTTTATGACATTTTTATTTATTTATGGGAATTTATTAATTTTTGTGTAGTGTTTATGATAACTAAAATTGGTATAAGATAGTGATTATAAAATAGATCATATAAATTGAGTTGTTCTTATAAATTAAAAAACTATTCAATAAATAATTGAGAACTTTTAAAAACTCACATAACATTGTACCCATTTGCATTTTGCATTTTCTTTACTTAACTAATTTTGTATAACAAGAAGAATCTGGATAGTAAAAAATACAGTCGATTTAAAACCGATTTGGCCCATATCTATGTAACAATTATTTGGCTAGGAGCCTGTAATGTTGTTCTGTAATACTGTCACAAGTTTAGGGATCCACATGCATAGATCCACAATCTTGGCGCCAACTTTATGGGCCCAAGTGGACATGGGCAAGACTATCCATGACCGACATGACCCATGCCGATCCAGACGTCCTACTACATTCAAAGAGACAATATTTGAAAATACCTTTGTCTTTTATGGTGTTACAGTTTCAAAGACATTGTTTGAAAATTATATTAAACAGTAACCAAAAATAAATGGTAAATGTTTTAGCTTACATAGACTTACAGGCGTACAAATAAAAAACAAAGAAAATTCTTTCCAACTTAGATGGATATGATTCTTTGAATAAAACGCGAAAAAAAAAATAAACTTAATTTTGTTTTTCTTATCCCTGAATCTTGGATACTTTTTTGGTCCTATTGCAACAATAGACTGCAACAAAGACAATATTATGGCTCATCAACTGCCCGGCCCAATGGCCCAGCAAACAAGCAGCGTAAGATAAGCTCTTCTTCCCGTCGACTGCCCCACTTGATAAGGCCAGCACCCACTCTGCCAGGGGAGAACTCTCCCTACCCGAATGTTTGTCACAATACGGGTGGCTCGGAGTGCCCCAGAAGCTCTCACTGATAAGGTTTGCCGAGAGGCCGCCACTCGCATCACACCAAATTTTAATCGCAATCGCAATGAGCGTTTACAATTACACATGTTTGCGCCGCATTATCGCGACAAAGACCAGCGGCCCTCCGCTGTGTAGTCTCAGTACAACTTGTCGGGCTTTGCGGTGCGGTTCTATTCGCGTTCCCCGAACTCCAGCGCACTCTCCCCATAGCATCCTGCGACAAGGATTCAAAAAAGTCCATCGAGAATATGCTGCGCAACAGCTTTAGCGTGGCCCAGAGCCTGCGCAACAGTTTCTCCAGAAACGCCTGGCGAGCCGTCAGCTCCCACGGACCCCGACAGCCAGTGAGTGAAGTTTATATAACGAGTGAATAGTGCAGTGATTCCAGGGGACTTCAATGAAATCGTTCTCGGATGCAAAGTCCGAGTCTGCCGTGTGATAGTGACAACGGACCTTTGATTTATTATCAGTTCAGTTCTTTGTGTTCAGGTCATCAAAATCAGTGGAGCAACGACCAAACCGGTACAGAACCGGATCAGAGAAGATGTGTTTTCTTTTTGGTGAATCCCTCCGGCTAGGTTCTCAAAGGACTATTTCTCTGTATTTTGAAATTTTTGAAAGAAAAGTTGTAATCATTTAAAACCAGATGAATGAGGAGTCCTCCAAGTTTCTCTGTTCTGGGTTTCCAAGGAAAAAGTTTATTTTATTTTTAATTTTACCTCATAAAAGTCCATTCTAATGAGCCCACATACTCGTAAATAAATCGCCGCCGGTCAATCTCTGCTGAAATTAAGAAATCGACAGACTGTTGACCGATAAGCGGAGATTAAAGTCGATTTCAGCGAAGGGGAAAATTGTAGCACCCCGAGACGGAGCATGACGTGCGAGCGTGAAGCCATTGTCTCGGGGTTTCTGAGTCCCATGACCCAGTGAGACATTCGTCCGCTAGCCAGGAGGGCTATGAGCCTCCGTGGGGGCCCTTCCCAGTCTAGTGCTTTGTTTTGATTGCGCAAGCCTTTCAACAGCTGCTGATGATTCTGATACCTTGCTGGAAAGTTTCCTCGGCACTTGGGCCTAATCAAACAAATCGACGCAACAAAACACTATCGCCAATGGACTAGAGCACATATAACCAATACATAAACAACAACAGCTTGAAAGGGTTACCCTGGAACCCAACCGGAGCCATAAACTGGGCAAATGGGCCATCAAAACGGGGTCCGGCTAATTGAATGCGAATCGATTGAAGGACTCCCGGCCCGGGCTGTAAATCATATACAGTTTCGTCTTGATTTCCAATAACATGCAAACCAGACAGGCTGATAGAATGTTTTCGCAGCTTGACAGCTGCCCGCTGGGTCGGCAATCGAAAAACGTGTTCAAATAAATTCTAAAAGCGCAAATATTGTGTTCCGGGAAGGGGCTGCCGTACAATAAACTTAAAACCCCTTTAA